CACCCGAACGAGTCGTAAATCGGCAGAAATATCCATGTACCTGGTAAAACAAAATAATTCCGGCCTACAGGTCAAGTGAATATTGTCGGTGTTTTTTTTTATAGTCGTCCACCACATCGCAATCTGCAGTCGTCCCACGCCACCACTGTACATGGCGATTACTATATGACTATATTATTGTTTTAGTCGTTTTTGTTGTTTGCGTGTATTATATTTTTTTTTCGCTTTGCGAAACCGAACGCGCCAATAAGAAGCAACACCGCCGGAAGACGTTGCAGATTTAGTTACCGTACATTATATTTATTTGATAATAATTTTACCTATTTTATATGGCAGCGGTGTGCAAGTTTCGTATACCTATATTACAATGTAACGATACACCGCACCTGCAGCACGCCAAAAACACGATTACGATCCGCGAACAAAAACTCCGTGTGGGCGACCGCCCTTTGAGTATATTATACTTATACTATATTATTATTATATTATATTATTGCAAAACGATTTCCTCGTCGAAAAAACCTCGGATTTTTCAAAACAACGTAGGTTTATACAGCTAAGCACGGTTACGTAACTCAATGTATTTTATAATCAAGGCTGCGTGTATAGGCAAAATCGGACGCACGAAAAAATGACCATCCGGGGCTAACCTAACCTATAACCTATACGAATGCTGCAACTAGTCGATATTCGGTTATCGTTTTTACACTGTGAACGATAACGCCCCAGTTACTTTTTTTTTTTTATATATGCACTGTAACGGTCGAGTGCACGCACTCTCCGAACAGGACGTCATTATATATAAGTATTAAACTACCGATACACATATACATTTCACCGACACGCTTTTGTGGAAAGTTTATACAGCTACCATCGTAATATATTATAGCCATTTTACAGGATTTTGTAAACTAATTTGTAAATGTGTCGGTCTCGAAGACGATTCGGAAATAGACGAATCATGTAAATAGATACTGATCGTTAGATATCAATATTACATTGACGACTGACCATTATTAGTTTTCATTGCGCACCAAAAATGCACTGCTGTGCATCGGCCATATTCCGATCAGCCTTATCTAACAACAAGCAAGTGATCTTTATAATATATTTTGAATAATGAATATGAAAATGAAAATAAAACTCACCTAGGGCTTTATACTTATATCTTCTTGACTATCCCAGTATTCCATTGTTTCTCCTTCTTTCAACGGGCCACGTGTCCTGACCATCGTCTCAATCTCTTTCCTTTGTGGTGCTATACTTCTAGACTGCTTCTCAGGCACGTCCTTGGGGCAGGTAGTGAGTCCTCAATTGTGCCTTATGTGCTATACGATGTTGCATAGTTATATAGTAATAGTATCGAGAAGTCAAAATTTGTTATCAAATATTTAATATTCCCCCCCCCTCCTCATCGCAATTGACCTAAATCTTCTTCTACATCTTATATTTCCCTTCCTCAATCCGGTCACAACTGTACACATTCACCTTAACAAATTCTCATTTCTGTTTTTATTTAATTTTTTTTATTTCGACACTCGAGCCCATGTACAAAACCGTTGATCTCAGTACCTCGCAACAGTTTTATAAAATGATCAGACAATGTGTATTGAAATAGTTATTATTTTAACTCGTCAATTGTTCAATCCGTTTCAGTATCGACCGAGGCCATAATCGATTAATTATGTTAACTATTGATATGTACATACGATAAAAATGTTAATTGTATGGCGTTATATATTAATTGTTATTGAGCACTTACACTAACTTATACCTCACATATACCTATACTCATGTGCACAGTCGTGCACAAAACAAAACTACGAAATCAACGCTTTATATAACGTGTTCGTTTCGAGTTCGAGTACAATATTAATATAATGCGACCACTCTTACAAGGTCTGAAATAATTTCGGACGGAATATATTCTATAGTGAATAATTAAATGGAAACGTATTACACACTATAGAAGTCAATGTCAACAGCCGATGTCAATATTGTGATCATCGGAACAAAAGTTATTTTTCATTACTATCAAAAGAGTGCATGCTATTCAAATAGGCACGAAAATTGCGTTCTGTTATAATATATTTGTATTATTTATTATTGTTTTAGGTTTCTAATATCGTATCTATATATTATCTATATAGTATAATCATATTCTGCACAGAAAACACTTTATATAATACCTATTCCGGTTGTACCCGCGTCTGTTCGTATTATAATTACAACTTTCATTGTCACGGTCTTTAAATTTTTATTTCATTAATTATAGAGAATATTTTTATTTAATATTTAATACAATATATGCTATGACCAAATGTAATAATTAGTAATTTCGATACATTTAACCGTTTCGGTATAATTTCTACAGCAATTCTGTTGAGCGAGCGACATTTTGTTTAGAATATCGATGTAATTATAATTCTACCGAATTTATTAATTATTATAATATATTCGTTATACTTGGTAGAAATTACTTAATTTTAATATTTTAAATGGTCGTTACATTATCTACTTTATGTCTGTGATCTGTGTATAATAATGTATATACATTTAAAAATTATAAACCTTACCTAATTTAATTAACCTTGCTAATTTCAATATTGAGCTACAAGCTTCAATGGTATGTCACCTCAATCCCTTCAGCTCATTTAACGGATTTAAATTTTTTTGGTACAAAAATTTATCACGAATTTTTACGACACCAAAATCAGAGACATATGTGAAAAACCGCGACGGAAGGTTTCTTCTTTGTCGAATTTCCCCTGAAATTTAGAGACTATTGGGTCTCTTTTGTATTTCTCTCTCTTTCTCTGTATATGTACACTATTTGTCCACTATATTTTAAGGACACTTTTAGCGGTTCTGTTGGACCAAAATTGGCTCGAAATTACGAATTAGATTTGTTTTTGTAGTACATTGAAAATCAATATTTGGGAAAGTAAAAATGTTCTGAACGTTTCGTGTCATCCATAACACATTTTTCGGAATACTTAGACAATTTAAAACGGAAAATTTACGACGTTTATTCAGCTAATAATTTATAAAATATATTTTTTTTCATACAACGATTTATCGTCGTTTTATATTAGGTAGATACTTAAATAAGTTACCCTTGAAACTTCATCTTCGCCAATGACATATAATATATAAACACTAAGAACATATCAAACTTAATATTTTCAAAAACGATTTTTGTAAGTACATAATACGTTTAACTTGACGTAGGTTCTGTTCACGGTCATATATTGCAAATTGTGTTGATTATTTCAAATATGTAATTATTTCGATACAACTTTTACAGAAACAAATTTTATTATTTCATGTAAATATGTACAATTATGTTTGTATTTAACTTAAATATATCTAGTATATTTGACGAGCTTTTTCGTACAATTTTATACTATTATATTATTATGTATTTTCTTTTCAAACTCCGATAGTAATTTCGGGCTCAAAATTAATAAGTAATATCTAAATTTTGTGAAAATTCGATAAAACAATTTCCTAATAAAACCCTGAATCGTAGAGATACAAATACAATAACGACGTATTGCAACAAAAATACGAAATGATAGAAATACTCACATATTCTGCATATAAATAGTGTTTTTTTGTTTTTGTTTTAGATATCGATAAACGTTTCAAACAAGACAATCGACAATTTTAAATAATCGTCATACACTGTCATCATTCACTGTAAATACCGCACTAATGGAACACTATAATTTTAATTTAATTTTTGTGATCCGCATAACGTGTCAAGTCTTATCTCGAGTACCTATTACTTTCTAACTTATTTTAATAGTGTAGGCATAGCGTTTATAATAATAATAATACGTTTAACTCGGGCCGTGGAAAATGTTATATTATCTTAATTTTAATAATGCGGTTATCTTGCCTGTATAATATATCTATTTTAAAATATAATTTTGTTGAGTACTGAGTAATTGAGTAATTTTTTATAAACGTAAAAATACCAAAATTAAAAACTGAACAATGCGATAGTTTACATAGGTATATTTTTCGTATCTAAAAATAACGGTTGTTTATTCAGGCACTGCTCGATAATTTCCAAGATGTATGTCAAAAGATACAGCAAAAATTAGACGGACATACTTCGCACGATGGATGAGCCACACTGTTATAAGTGAAAAGTTGGGAAGGTAGGATATAGAGGGGAATTTTATGTATATATGCATGCAACGATCTATCGGGTTTTTTTTCGGCCTAGTGTACGAGCGATTTGATTGGATTGTTATATGACGTGTAGCACCAAAGACAAATTACTGCACACTCTCGTGAATACTTACAACAGCACACGATCTTCTGTGGCTTCGGGGTAGTCAAAACGAGAATACATATTGTTTCCCAGATTAATGACACCTACGGCCGGCAAAAAGAAGAAGCGACGACCGCGAACTCGCGTACATTCGTGTACCTATAACAGCAATAAGTAATTTATGCGTATAAGGAAAAAAAAAAATCAGTATAATCATAGCAATTTGAAATTTAAAATTCAAGGATGCGCCCGTTCGCAGGTATTCATCGCCGCGATAGAAAGGCGTACTTACTGCAACATTTTATACCCTTGCGTAAATATATGTATAAACTCACCAATAATATATTATAATATTATGTTACGCACTATATATCTGCAGTGGTCTAAGATCGCGGTTATATTATTGTTACTTATTACTTATAATATTTTGTTCTTCGGTATTTTTTTTTTTTTTTTTGACGTTAAATCCTCTTCTTGGGGGAAAAAAAACCGAAAAACCGGTCGGCATCACCATGGGTCACTGGTGTGTGTGTGCGTGTGTAGTGACTCGCCAAGAAAAAAAAAACTCGGGCGTGTGACAAAAACCACGTACAAGGACATCGTCGGGTTTTTTTTTAGTAAGGAATTTTCGCCAGAAAAGATCATCTCGACGGATCGGACGAGGCGCCGCCGCCGCGTTTCGTCGGCCTCGGCGGAGGGGTCCGCGAACCAGTCGCGCGCCGCACATTCACCGGCACTCGTCACTTCACGGAGCAGAACAGTTCACAGTCCGCCGGTCACAGTCGTCGCGTACACACCACAATCGTCTCAAACACGACGTACCGCAATCGCACGCGACCGCGTGTTCTATCCAAGACTGTCCGCAGAAGCAACAGACTTCATCCGCAAAGTCATAAATCCCCAATGTACACGCGGACGACGATGCGCGTGAATTTAACGTAATCGGCCCTCCGCGATAAACGGTCTGCTGCAGGAGGTGTACGCGACGATAATATTTCCCGCGCGGACGATGAACATTGCAATAGTTTGACAATTCAACACTACGATATCCACCGCGGAACCGCTTACACGACGATTATCATAACCGCGGTATACCCGAAAACCCGTTCCCTATAGAACAAGGTAAACCGATTATTGTTATTATTAATCCCGGGTTATTTTGGTATACGGTATTATATTAGCTAATGCGTGTCTGTGTTATCGCATCGCAACCCTCCGATTGACCTCACCCGATAGTCCAATAATAGACGTCCAGCACGCGGTGTACGATAGTTTAAAATACGCACGTTTTTTAAACGTCAATAACCAATTTAAAACGAAAACTGTTTCCGTTTCAAACATTTAGCGACCGGACGATTTCTTTAAACGAGTGTATAGCGTCTTCATCCCGTATTCTGGGGGTCAGCTACCCTTGTTCTCACAATCTGACCTTCCACATGTCCACATACTATTATTATTGTTATTAGTATCCATCTCTATTTTTTCATCTATCCCATACACTCGGCTCTATCCTAATAACTTTTAATTAGTTTTTATTTTTATCAGCTATACCTCTTCCCGGGCAACCATCTATACTCATAGCTATCGCCAGTGGCGTCGAGTCGTTAGATTTTAAGTGGTCTGATTAATAGCTATAGTAATCATTATCATCGCGTATTTATTTAGTTATAAACAGGACAGTGGCGGGGGGGGAGGTTCGCCCCCGTGCCCCCGAAATGCTTATTTATGTGTATCAAAAATCAAAATGCGAGAGAATTGTGAATAATCTTAATTCTTAGTACAGACGGATTACCATGTAATACAATGCATTGCGCAAGCGCTCTCAAGGGGATTGGGTGTAATTTCTGCGTATTAGGTGTCACAGGGAAGTTTTTAGATACTTTAAAAAAAGAGTGGGTGGGTGTATAATTTTGTTACTGGCTACACTACATCCATATTTCACATCTAATATTTTAACACTAATTTCTGCCATACTTCCATTTGTATTGCATACTCTTTTTTTTGTATCTCTTTCATTATCTCTTGCTTTATCTAGTTTTATTTTTATTCAACGCCCGACAATGCAAACGTGTAATAACATCATCGCTGAAAGCTTCGCGACAGTTTCAAATCCCTTATTAAATATATTGTAGGTAATGAGACACTCTTGAAGTTACAAATCGTTTAGGTACTGCAAATACTTGTACGAGTTGCTCGTTGTTTACATTCTAATGGCGGCGGCGGGGTACTCTTGTCATCTGATAAATATAGATACCTATTTATTTACATGACAGATATCGATCGTATCTATAATATTTTCGGACACGATCTCTTAATAGGTGTGGCCACCCCGGAAACCGGCGGTGACCGTCGAAACAATATTTATAGTCGGGAGTCCTCTGCGTTTTTGTTGGTTTTTTTTTTACGTGTACCGTCGCGTCGTCTACCGATACAAGTATTTCGATTAGGTAAGTATTTTTTTTTCCTCGTAATTTCACGGATCGTATATATAACGATAGCACGTGTACGATAATATAATTCACAAAACAAAACAACAAAACAAAAATACCAACACGAAAATACTAAACAATATTATGTAGACGGCCGAGTCGCATTGCTTTCTATATAGGCACGCGTGGTATACACATTAGGTACTCGTACAATATTATGTATCACGGTTTGATGTATACGAAAATGACCGTATTTCGAAGGAAGTTCCATATGTAAAACGTCGGTTTCGCTCGGTAATCATTACGTCGTGTGCACATCGTAATAATATAAAGCTATTGCATTGTAAAACGTTGAGTGCTGTTGTTTTATTTTTCCTTTTTAGCGGAAGTATTTAATATAAAGTTTCACTTTTATAGGAACTTTAGTCTTTACGCTGTTTCTTTGATATTTGTATTAAGTTTGAAATTATCTTTGTGGCCAGGCGTTTCCTATCCTTAAGTAGGTGCTTATTATATACCGACACGCGCTTCGTTTTATTTTTACTATTCGTATATAATCACATTATTCATATTGATTAAAAAGAAAAAAAAGAAACCGAACACAATCGACAATCGCCAATAATTATTATCTTTTACGAAATTCGACGGGTTCTACAAAAATGTTTCCGTGACGTACACCGCGTTTTTGTAATGCTTTTTAAATAATCATGACCACGACTTCTATACATTATAATAATAATGTTATAATGAATGGAAATTCGATCGAAATGTGTCAGCTGAGGCTGAAAACACGTCACCTGTCAAAAACTGCGCGAAATATCATTCTCACGTTACTTGAACTTTTTTTTTTTTGTAAACCACATCTAATCGGTGAGTGTATATAATAGTTGTTGTAAACAGAAGTATGTATTATCGTACCGGATACTTAGTCCATTAGGTTTCTATGAATACAATTCGAAATGAATAATATATGTACTCCATCACCTGCGCCGTTTGCCGATGTATACCTGTACCCTGCAGTGTAAACCCGCGTTGAAGTTTTATCGAAATTCACGGGGGGTTTTTCGGAATATTATAAACTGTATATTTTTCTCGTTATATATATTGAAAATTATATATCGAATATTTATATGTATTCTCTAAGTACAAGTACAATTGTTTTGTAAATTATCATCCCGGCGTTTCTAAACGTTTTAAAAATATTAAAAGTTTTCAAAAAAATTACCAAATTTATAGATATAACATTAAAATGGCGTGTAGATAGTTTTTATTATTTTTATCAGTTACAACCGAACTGATATATGATCATATTTAAATATTCCTCGAATATTAAATGAAAGTATAATATATGTAGGCGTTTATTTTCAGATTCCTCACATTATAAAACAAATAAAAAGGTTATTCGTTTATGTAACCTTCGAGTTGAAACCGGTTAAATGTGATCGATTAATGTTGTACGAACACTGATTAATTGAACAGGAGCGTAATAGTATTTTAAAGGGGAAAATAGCTAAGAGAATAGAATATAAAAATATTTCCATGCTCTTTTAAATTCCATACACAACCAAACAGAAAGGGAAACCATTGTATAGTGATAATTAAATAATAAATATGTTTTTTGTTTTGTCTACATTATAAATTTTTTTTGGGCGTATTCCAAAAGTCTTATCAACACATTTCGTTATTGTAATAATTTATAATAAGATAGTCCCCTTAAGCCATTCCCAAGAGATTTTAATTATTCACTGAACTCTTTTCTAGAATACAATTACGATGAATTTATAATTTGTTGAAAATAAGTTTTTTCGATATTTTGTTTTATTATAAAATGCAAAAACTTGAAAATTGCATTCAGAATCAAACGGTATTTTTGATTATTTATTCTAAATCATCGTTCCATAAATAGTAATAATAGTAGTGTAAGAAAATTAGTGTTTTACGTGGTAAACAAAATAAACTCGAGAGTTTCGATACAAGTGTAGCGAGAAATTTATTGGTTTTACTATGATTTTTTTCTATGCTTGTTAACTTTTACCAAAAATCTTACTTCAATTAAAAAATTAAAAATAATTGTAGTGACCAGAAATTTTCACCGAGTACTTATAATATTACTCCTTTCTAAACGTGGTACAATTTTCAAAACATTGTGGTGGTTTTTAATCATTATTTTTTCCTTTTTTTAGTTTTTAATTGGTTTTTTATGTTAAATTTTTTATTTTGGCAAATAAAAAATGTTTGAAAATTTGATACGACGTTTTAGCCGTTATTGTTCTGATGATAAAATAAAAATATCGCAAATCCTTGTAGTTGCAATTTTTTAAAAATAAACTTAAAGTTTAAATATTGATAAAAATGACAGCATTTCGGATATATATTATTCGATTAATTCGTCATTTCAAACTGTTAGGTTAGGCTAATAATAAGTCGGAATGGCCCATTGGAACGGGGGAAGTTATCTTCATTGATTCGCATTGTTAGAATATTATAAAAAAAAAAAAAACATATATAGGGGGATATGTATGTTTTACACGACAAACTGTGTGTATAATTACGTCACTGCACTCGTAATAATTTTTATAAAAAAAAAACCTCAACTATTAGTGTTATTATTATAATATCAACTAGGTAATTATACAAACTGTTACATTATTTATATAAAACTATTTATAAATGTCATTATATAATAATAATTACATAGAGCACGTGTAACGATTTATTTTTGAAATCTATGGATAATTCATGCATATAATAAAAAAAAAAATACTCGTACCTATATAGCTGTGTGCCAAGTACCTACGTTATGAATTATTCATAATAATATCTAGGTATTCGCGAACAATTAAATAAAAACATGTTTAACACCGCGTTGATTTATTTTACGGTCGTAAATACGTTTTTCACACATTCCAAGTGAACGATGAGAATGTTTTTTACTTATCTTCTCAATCGTCGATACAATTTTGAGAAAAAAATCCGGGAATAACTCGATTTCCATGAAATCGAAAACCATTTTTCCTCTCGGATGGGTATAGTATTAATAACGCTACATATTTTATAACCGACTATAGTTTGTTATCAGTCAATTCACCATATCAATATGTTTTAATTTAATTTTTAAACTTTATCTATAGTAAATCATTATATTAACTATTAAGAGGACGCCATGACCGCATGGTGCAACTGTCTTACAAACACACGATACACCAAATGTTTGTTCTGTTTCTTTCTGTACTGTTAGTTGTAATATTAAAGTAAATAGACCTGTAAACAAACTTAAAGATAAGAACATTAGCCGTGCAATTGTGTCGGATTTTTTTTCGATATTTTAATTTTTAAATGAGTCATGAATATATTAAATATTACAATTTAAAAATGCTATTATCTCGCTTAAAAATTAGAATATTAAAAAAAAAAACAACGCAGTTGCATAGATAGTGTTCTTACTTTTATATTTAATAATAATATAAAACAATTCACTCTAATGTAAAACTAACAGCACATAGTTGCCTCTGCTTAACACAAATTTGCTATGTCAAGAGTTTGTATAACGGAGATCGCACATGCGGGTGAGGTATCCTCCTAAGACGCATTGTTACATAATTAAAAAAAAAATTCAGACATTACGTTCAAATGCGCGCGATTTAAAATTTTAATACGAGTACCTATATAGTTAAAATTCCAACAAAAATATTACCCGTGCCAAAAATTTTAGTTTTTTTATTTTTAAACTTTCTATAAAGAAATAATAATAATATTAATTATTATGTGTATTATAGCATTTTACTTTCATTTCGTAATTAATACTATAGTAATAATTTTTTACAACACGAGATATTCAATATATTATCATAGATAATATTATTACATTAGGTTAGTGTCTACACAAATATTATTAATAATTAAATGCACTGTTTTTTTTTTTTTTTTTTTTGAGTAAAATGAAGTAAGTTGATTGAATACAGTTGATGTATAATGCATTATATTTTCATTTAAATACATGTGTTTCCCTATTGAATCGTATCATATATTTACATAATGTGATTAGCCAAAAGGTAAAACCCTAAATTTTAAAACGCCCCAGTATTTATTACTTCTTAAAAAACTAAGTAATAACCTATTGAAATAATAATAAAAAAAAAAAAGTCGATCCGTTTAATTGAGAATGTGTAGGATCACAGATTTGGTCCGATTCCACATATCAATTTTTTTGTTATACCATTAATAATTTATCAAAGCAAATCTAGATGATCGCATTATAAAATAAACAAAAGAAAAAGGATATAGCAGATATAGGAAATACATTTTCTAAAATTATGACGCAAACGAGTATATGTACGAAGTACTCATAGAAACAGGGATATTTTAAATATTTTAAAAAATATATACATTTTATTTATTTAACTAGTAAAAAAAAAAACTTCGTTTTGTGTATTCGTCGAATTTTCATATTTTTTAAAAACGTCATTCGGTATAAAATAAAAATAATAAAAAGAATCTGTATAAAATACTATTAAAAATGAGTAATTGGTTTTTAATATCCGGTGACGGGAGTAAATTTTCAGAAAATCAATACTCGGGTTACGCGACATGCCCTCTAAAACTAACGCTGCAGGTTATATATTTAAACATTTTTGGCAAGCTAAAAGGTTTTTATGCGCCGCGATAACAACATTAAGACATTGATTAATGCCGAACGTTTGTTATATTAAACAGTTATTAATTATTAATTACAAGTGAACAGGAACGGTGTAATTAATTTTCTGGCGATTTTGTTTGTTTTTGTTTAGATAATAATATACGTTCATCAGTATTATGGCGGTTTTTCAATGGATAACAACCTTAACGGTTTTCCAACTGCTGACGACCGGCTTTTGCCTGGAAAACGGTTTAGCCAGGACACCGCCGATGGGATGGTTGGCGTGGGAGAGATTCCGATGCAATACGGATTGCAAAAACGATCCGGACAATTGTATAAGGTAATTGTTTTTACATATTGTATTTTATTAAACGCGCGTCTACAGAGAAATACTTTTTACGTTTAATAGAATCCAATTATGGGTGTTTTCGTGCCAATAACAATATTTTGTCAACTTATGAAACTTTCATTTTCATGCGGCGTAGAGAATTTTTTCGCAAAATAGCATAGAATACTTTAGATTTCTTTCCGGAAATTCGTTGGAATTATTATGTAAAGCAAACTGTTCGCGACGATTAGAAGAGGCCACTTAAGTCATCAGATTCCGAAATCGTTGCGGCGGCCCGAAAATAAATTAAGTGTCGAACATCACGATACGATGGGCATTCCCCACGCGATCGTTATTATTTGTCAACCGCGCTCGCGCCACCGATATAATCGTTATAGCTTTTTACTGAAAGAAAGAAGAAGAAAAAAAAAAAAATCCTCTTTCTCTTATAATACGCCTACGTTTTCAATCGCGATCATTATTGTCGATACAGATGACGCTTTCCAAACGGAAGTTTCTCATTATACAGGTAGGTAGCGACAACCTGCTATCCGTCATCGCCCGTACACTTTTTCTGAATCTGTATACGCGTATTGCGGTGCGGCCGGCGATCTTTGATCGGGTACAGTGTTATCGCGGAGAGGCGAACCGCAAAATTAGAAAAAAAAAAAAAAAAAAAAAAAACCCGAAGAAAAGAGACGCCGCCGCGTTCCCGGGTTTACGTCAAAACAATAACGCCGACCGCAGCAGAAAATGTCGCGAGATTTCACGTACGTACCCGCAGGCCGTTGATTGGGAGACAGTGGAAAACCGCGAGTACACCTACAACACGCGTTATACAACAATGCGCCGCGACCTCGCCACCGCGGGCTATGCGTTCGCTGTAACACGCATATAGTTGACGATCGGACACAACAACAACGACAATAATAACAACATAATACCGTATAATGTCAAGGGCGACGCAGGGCATTTAGTTTTTTTTTTTTTTTTTTTTACATCCGATTCGTCGCTGCGAGGATGAGCGAGATACGATAATTACCCGTATATCAGCCGCAGCGGTATCGGGCGCAAGAGCGGATTAAGCGTATTATGATATTATTATTTTCGGAACAATGCGTCGCGCGTTCGTCCTGGGCCGTATACCTAAATAATAACGTACGCGTACGGGCGAATTCGTCCTCGGGAAATCGCGGTAAATAACGATTGTGTGTACAAAGACAATTTGAATAAACGGGCGAATTACGGTGTCAAAAGTATAGTCGTAGTTTTTTTTTAATTTTTTTTACTGCATATCCCCGTTCGCGTGCGTGGCTAGAAAGTAGTTTGTAAATAACAATGCCTTGAAACTATACTCGCTTCTACAATAATATATTGTCTCTCGCGTACGTTTTATATAATATTGCGCATTTGCGCGAATATAGCTATTATATTTATATACTATTATAGAAGATGTCATATTGTTTTTATTTTTTCTTTTCGCCGTCATAATAATTAGCCTAGATTTTGTCATCGTTATTTTTTTTTTTTTTTTACTTTGCTACCCGCCTACCGAATTTGTCGAGGTGTGCAAATCATCGTGTAACGATTATTACGGAGGAAACAATCACGCGCGATCCGCTTAAGCGCAGCGGTATACGCAGTCTTCGCGGTTATGCAACGGCCACCATCGCGTTGTGTAGCACCGATAAAAAAAAAAAAAAAAAAAAATTGAATCAATCGTTCTGTGCAGCCGGGTCGATACGGCCCAGATAACTGGTATTTATCCCTCCCGGTATTATAACTTTAATCGTTATTGTTGTTTATCTCGTATATTATTATTATATACGTAATAAATAATAATACACATAATAATATCGTCCGGTTCGTTGACGTCACGATTTTTCGTCGGTTAGAAAAAAAAAAAAGAAAAGAGATCACGACAAAAACAAGCGTGGGTAATATTATTATTGTGTATACATTGTGCCGCGTTCTTTGCTACAGAGTTGAGCCCCTTTAAACCGTTCCGTTTATGGGTAAACGCGGCCGTTGTATATTATACACGTAATTCGGTAAATTATAGCGAAAAGTGAAATTATTATTATTGTCAGCCGTCACTCACTACGTACCTATATTATTATAATGTGTAGGTAGGAATGAATAATTTCGGAAAATTATGAAAAAACATTCCGAAACGTCTTATTATTTATCTGTCATGCAGTAGACATCACGCATCGTTATATTATTGACCAACGACGACAATGATGATGATGGTGGCGGTGTTGTAAACCCGAGGAATGAATAAATTATAAATAAAAAAAAAAAAAAAATCGATCACATCGGTCGGTCACGTTTTTTTGACAATCGATTCAAACTATATAATATAATAATAATATATGCATATAGGTACCCACGATAAATAGTGTACGAGTAATGGGTACATTGTTAGCGGAATCCTTACAGATTCGGAACATTTTTTTTTGCTCCGGAATTCTGCCGCACGTTCAGGTGTTCGCGTGTTCCGGTATAACGATCATTTCGGACGGGGACCTCTCCACGGATTGGAATTAGGCGACGGAAAAAAAAACACGAAAAAAAAAAAAAAGAAAAACAGTTTAAGTCACGATTCGATACCGCACGCCGGTTGAATGCCGCACATTGTACGCTGCGGAATATGAACGGAAACGGTGTTATATTTTACGTTCCGACGCGAAAGGGCGGACGAAAACCGCGTATTTAGGGCCGAACCGAGTTGAAAACTGTAGTAGGTACTTGACTGCCGGACCGGCAAATAAATCGTAGAAGTATATTTTTGTTCGTTTTCGCGGTCTACTCTTATGAAAATGATTATAATAATGACTATAGCATCTATATTTCGTGTCTTCCCTTATGGCTATTTCAACGCGTGTGTAGGCGCGTATAGTCATTGGTTAATATAAAATATGACAGTAAAAACTCATTGGACGGTAATCGTGCACGGTAATATTCGAAATTATTTTTGACGGAATAATAAATAATTTAATGTCGCGTTGTTCTAGGTTGTTTACTTACTACATACAATTGTATCCTATAAATGTCGTTTATTGTTTGATTATAAAATAGTAGAATAAATCAGTTTTTTTTTTTTTTAATTTAGCGAGCAATCTATTGGTTTTACTAGGCTTTTTTTTTTTCTGTAAACCACTTTTATTCCAAAATCTTGCTTCGATTTTCAAGTGTAAAGCATTTTTTTCGGGAGGAAATTTTGTCTATTTGATATACTGCGATATCGGTTTTTGATTTTCTTAGTACCTACGTTTTTTAATAATTATACAAATCTGAGGATAAAACATAAAAAAAACCTGAAAATTGTATGGCAATAACGTTAGATAACCGTTTCATTATTTTCGATTTTGTCTTTTGTTATAATTCGGTTAAAAATAATCGTAGAAACCTGACATTTTTGCAAAATACGTATAGTTTAACCTTTTCTTGACGAAGTAAAATGTTTAAAACGTTCTGGCTATTTTCTAGTCATTTAAAGGCATTTGATGTTTTCAATTTTTTTCATTTTTATTAGTTTTTGTGTAAATAAAATTGATTTGGCCACATGCAAATTTAACACGAGTTATATTATAAGTTATACTCAGTAATAAAAAAATTAGTGTTATATAGTGTTTTTTTTTTTTTTTTTACATGCATTTTAAGTAATTTTTATAGAAAATCGTAAAAATCACTGCATTCCTATACTACATTATTAACCGAGTTTTACTCAGAATTGTGTTTTGTTAACTATTGATGATTTATCGTTGCTATAGCTAGAAATAAATAAGTAACTCTGAGTTTCTTACTTTTCCAACTTACCACCTATAACAGTGACGGACCCGTTAGCAGTATTAGATCTTTTTTTTGGATAGGTATATTTTAAACTATTCATTGTTGATTTACGGTATCTGTTTAAACTGGACCGAAAACCCCTTTTTATAGAGTTACAATTCAAACGAGGAATAAACAATTATTTCGACTACATTTTCGTAAATCACTGCACACAAAACGGATATTAAATTAATTAAATTTGTTTAACGTACCTATAATTTGATCTCGTGGGGGAAATAAAATGGGGATTCAGACAATAGATGAGTTTAGTGTAACCAATATTGTTTTGGAATGATAAAAAAAAATTAAAATGGATATTTATGATATTTATTGTTTTGTCTCTTACTTTGATAGCATAACGTTAAAAACTATAGTGTGAATCTTACTAAATATAAGCACTATGCGCCGTTTGTATACCTACGTTAGAACATTCTACTCAAAAAATATAACTAATTTACAGAGTGTAATAGCAATATTTGACATTTGTACGTGTCATAACAATGCAAAAATGTCCAATAGTCCCGTACACCCTGTTTTGTCTATTTTGATAATAGGATTACCGATAATAAATTAAACTTTGGCATCTGCATAGATTTACATTTGGCTCAAAAATGTTATAAAATATGACAACGCAGTTGTAACCATATTATTATTGTATTTTATACTTTAATCTCCGCAATTGTATCGATTGATAAAAAAAAAAAAAAACAATAAAATATATTTATGTTTTCGTAATGCCATTGTCGTGGAACCTATACTCCTGTACATATTTATTTTAAATAATAAGCACACATTTGTTTTAAAAACGAAATGTGTTTTGAATAAAGAATTCCTATGCCATTATGCCCAGTTACTTACAATAATTTAAATTTGTCAAAATCAAATACATAATAATGTGCACGAATAACAACATATACTACTGTTACGAATTCAGTCAAAATAAAAGAATTAAATCGCAGCGTTATCTACGAAAAACCAAGTTTTTTCTCTTTAAATATTATGTAACGTATAATTTATAAATTGTAGACCGTAGACTATAAAATTATGTACTTTGCTATACCAGAAGGATTTCCCGTGATTAATGGTGGCGATTAGCAAATTGAAGTATACAATGAACTTCAATGTCTTATTATGGCTATATAATTAATAGGCGTACCTAGTTAATACTTATACCTACAAGAAAATAATACGCGATAATAGAATCTCGTAAAAAAATCTGATATTGTACTCGTCAGGAAGTTTATTTATTCGTATTCGACTTTGTTAGATTGTTTTAGAGTAATTATTAGTTTTTGTACGCGCGCAGTTTGTCAATGAAAACCTTGATAATGGAAAATTACTCGTACACGATAATAGTTCCCACTGCACTTCGAATAATAGGCACTTACCTACCTACTGTACTACGGTCTTGAAGTTTTATGACAATCGAAAATTAACGAAACCATAAAAACCTTTTGGACTCTGGTGTCGGTTTTGAATAGCCATGTATATAATACACATCGGAAACACTAATTAAAACCATTATATGAAATACATAAAACCACTGGCTGTATCGCCCGGCTTGGCCCGTGGACAGAATTTTAATGTAAAATATTTTTAATATTATTTTATATTTCGTTCGGTGACGCGTTATACGTATTACGTTAAGAAATAACTTTTTCCATTTTTACCTCCGTTTACCCCATTTTTTAGTGAAAAAATAAATACCCACAAAAATATCGCTTCTTCGTAATATACTCTATTATTCCGAAAACCCTTATAGTCATAAGGTACTAATGACTATCACTATTGGACGAATAGTTTCGAAGCCAGTCCGTGACAAAAATTTCAATTTTTGCTTTAAAAAGATAGATAGTTTTTATCTTTGTTTGGAAAACGCCACTGCTAGAGTAATACAAATATTACACAACACATACCTACACTAATCATTGTAGTAGTTTACCAAACCTAACCAAGTCATTACAGTAATCATTACAGTTTTTCATTAGGGATGTAAACATTAGAATCAGACCGAATTTTCCCTCTATTTATATAGCCTGTTTATTTTAGGGAAATTAAAAATGTATTATTTTATGTTGCAGCGAAAAACTCTTTAGGACAATGACCGATCTCGTAATATCCGAAGGATATGCCGCCGCAGGTTATGAGTACATAAATGTGGATGACTGTTGGTTGGACTTTGCAAGGTCGTTCGACGGTAGACTGCAACCTGACGCCAAACGTTTCCCCAGAGGAATGGCCGACCTATCTGCATACGTGAGTACAAACACCTAACTATTTAATTTGTTCCGTTCCCGAATCTTAACGTTGACAATATATTTTTAAGTTTGATGGAAGTATAGTATTGTACATGTGTAAAATTGAGATTCATTGACAATTTATATTTTTCATATGACAGCAACATACAGCAGCTTTGTTGAAATTTGGCTTTAAAAAACAAATGTGTTTATGTAACCATCTGTGAAACTTACAATTTATGTAACGGTACACTCGATAGAATCCCCCATTATTCCTTAATTATTTATTTATTTGCCGAAATCGAACGATAAACCTAAAAATCAGTCGGATTAATTATATAAATAGACCGTTTAGGGCACATTATTAGTGATGTTATCGGTTCAGTTGTCCTAGTTAAATCAGCCAATAATACTTAAATTTAGTAAAATCAAAACGTGAGAATTGTGATTATAGAAAGAACATAAAATAACAAAAAAAGTATTTGATCGACAAAATTAATATTGTATTTTGTAAAAAAAAAAAAAAATAATAATAATGCTCTGTTATAATCACAACGTTTATTGTTACCTCATTACAATCATTAGCAATAGTTTATCATTGCGTACGCCATTCAGATATAAATTAAATTACCCTAAATTACCTTCCCAACTTCTCATCTACAACAGTCGCCTACTCATCGTGTGAAAATTTTTTATTATATTTATTATAACATAATTACTTATTAAATCACTTTTTTCTCACTTTCTCGGTACACCCAACATTTTAAGTATAAATAGTAAAACAGCTTTACGTTCATTATTATAGATATCAAGCTGCGAAATGGTAAAAAATAATTATAGGGAAAATTGCATAAACGAATATTATTATAATATGTTTAATGCCGACTAAGGTCTGATCTAATTCGCTCAGTACATATTATATTTAAAGTTTTATGCGGTCTTAAAACTATAGTTTTATAATATAATATAATAATATATAATGTAAAATCGGATTCATTATATTATCGTTAATTCGCAAAGTAGATTATTTTAAAGTTTTGATACGAGTAATTCCAGTAATTATATAGCTTATAGCTAGGTTAATAAATTATTCGTATCTTGTAAAACGTGTTTAATAAATAGTCCGAAAACATGTTAAACTCGTATAAAAAAAAAAAATAAAAAAAAATACAATCTACACTGGTGATTGAACCGTATTAATATATTATACTATTTATTATTTCCGAGTACCTATAGGGAATATTGTCTAATGTCTTACGTCACGATTGTAATATTTATTAATCAAATAGGATAATGTAATTTTTATGATAACGATTTTTCGAAATTACGTATGTTTCTCGATTTTCGCGATAACGCCGATTATAAGCTCGCGTTTGCCCACCGTGATATTATTATTATTATTGCTATCCGCTAATTGCGGTTTTTTTTTAGGTTCTTTGTTACCTAAGACATCCGTTACATGATTGTACTAATAACGCCTCTCGCGTGTACTGCGGAGTGCAGCTACAGCGACTGTAATGTTTAAAAACAAACAATGCTCGTATAATAATGTGTTGTGACGTACATACTGCTGTGTGTTTGTATGTAAAACAATGAGAAATTACCAATTTTCAAAAAGAAACAAATTATTAAATTATACAAAACAAAAAACTATTTTAACCAGGACGTGACTATAATAAAATACTCGTATGCGTATACGACTAATTTCAACCATTTAAAAGATGACAGTGCTCACAATAATAGATAATATGAGCAAGGACGTATATTAGGGTCTTCTAAAATTCAGCGATGTCCAACCGAAATGATAATATACATTCCAAAACTTAACAATTTAATAATATCTTGCCAACTATCGTTCCATCGAATCCACCATTCAATTTTACTACTTTGTCGGACTGATATTTCTTATCAATTCTTATTCATCACGATTTGAATTTACGCCAGAGATAATGTGTCTGTTATATTTGATAATATACTGTATTTTATATTATTTATCATTTAAATAATCGCTCATTTAACATAGTGGTGTTAAATTTAAATTTTTTGTCAGGCTAATAAAGTAACTCCAAATAAATGTATCTTAATAAGAATATTTGAATATACTTTTCCAGAATTCGAATATGTACGAAAATTACGCAGTATCGTATTTTTAATATTTTACAAATGTATTTGTATTTTAAATCGAGTACTCGTTTAAATATTTTTTTAGTTTTTTAAATTATTTTTTATATTTTAAATTGAAATACACCGTATTAAACCATGTTAAATGGGTTCAACATTTTACTTTGTATTTAGCTTATATTTTATAAATAATGGTATATTATCAAAACCAGAAAATCAAAAAAAAAAAAAAGAACAATAAATAATAATGTTAACGTCTTCATACCTATGCGATCTAATAATACCTATTGTCTATTTTTTTTTTCTTGATAATGAGTTTTCAGTTGCACTTTATAGAAGTGGTATAATTATTTTCAAATTATTCTGGCATTTTTTGAGTTACTTTTAACATTTTTTTAGTAGGTAATTTAATTTTGTCAGCGTATTTTAATTCCAAATGAATGTTAAAATTCGTCAAAAACATAAAAAAAATTGAAAATAATTATGTAGTTACACTAATATTATAATATCTTTACTTATAATTTTCAATTTTAATTTATCGGAACATCTTTATTAATCGAACTTTAGAGTAATTTTTCGTTCGCAATGATTTATCGTCGCGTACAGCTGATATAATTCGAGTTATATATTCTATATCTTTTCTGCAACTTCCTACCTACAAAAGTGACCCGTCCACGGTGCCAGTATACTAGAGAGACTAAATAATTTTGCAGCTATATTATAATAATTAATATCATATTAGCATACTGTCCGTTAATTATAAAATATTGTTAATAGAGTCTGCATGTGGCGTAATGATAATATTAAAATGAAGTCACCCATCAATGACCGGTATTTCTGTTATGGCCACACATTTTTATTTTATTTGTAAATGGGTTAAATTTTTTAGTTTTATAAGCCATAAATCGTTGTTGTTGTATTTATATTTATTAATTCACTGGATGATATTGATTATTACAAAAACAGTAAACACAGATGGTCATTAAATAAAAAAGTACAATTTTTAATTTTCGAATTCCGTAATGTATCAAGATTTTGGAAATTTGAAATTCAAACTAAGTAGGTACCTACCGGTAAACTTATAATGAATTTACGGTTTGGATTAGGATTTATATTCAATAACCGAAGATAATATATTAAACCGAATGTTAATAGAAAAAATGTCTTTAGGTGGCCATATAGATGCTGATTCCATTCTATAATAATACTGTCGATAAACGAACTCTGCGCAAAAAAAAAAAAAAAAAAATCATAAATATAGCCAAAACTCCAATAACAACGAATTTCTTCTCCGATAGTCGTTTGCAATCATCTTTTTATATATATATTTTTTTTTTTACACGGCGGCGTGTTGCTCAACAATCATAATAATAACAATTGCACTAGTGCACTACTGCAGCAGCAGCAGGTATATAATATTATAAGATGTTAGAACGATATTCACGACGCGTGCACGTGCACGTACACGTTTTGTGGCAAAGTTCAGTGAAACAAATAAATAGGTTTAATATTATCATAACGCGAACGGCTATTATTATACAGGAGTATTATAGGTGGCGCATTGTTTTTTTTTTTTTGCACTCTCTTTCAATATAAGTGTATATAGGGTGCCTGTACCTACGTATACGAATATATTATTATATATTTTACAAAATAAGGCAACGCTGAAAGCTATTATATAGGCACACCGCGCTCGTGTGCAAATTGCATAGATTTGACGCGATAATATTATAACTGCAATATTATCTGATAAGTCTGACTACCTATATGTGTACTGAAAAAATGCATTAAACACGCAAATGCATTATTGCCGTAGTCGACACGCATTTATTTATAACAATACACGTTTATAAAAATGTTTCTACATATTTTATTATTGAACTATTTTCAATTTTATTGCCACGCATGTTGTGTAAAACTTATTATCTTATCTTATTTAATAATGGGGCAGAGGACTCGTAGTTCTAAAAAAACATTTAATATACGAAAGCACTTATGTATTTAAAAAGTTGAAACCCTCTAAAATATGCACTAAAAAACATGCTTTATTTTTAAATTTAGTTATAAACAATAACTTTGTGCTGATTTAAATAATCACATTAATAGGTACATTATAATATTTATATCGATAAAATTATTGCCGGAAAATTAATTAAAAAGGTGATCTTAAGCGTTTATAAAAAAAAAAAACGTGTGCCCAACGAACAGTCAACAATCATAATTATTATTATAAATGATACAGATTAAAAATTAATTTAAATTCAACAATTTTGGTTATTAAATGAAATAAAAACGTCGACCGAGGAAATATTGAACATGTTTCTCAAAAAGAGTAAAGTAGAAGAGAAAACGGAAATAACTCGAAACATGCACTTATGTGCAAAATAAAATTAGAATTCTAGTTTTGTCCAAACATAAAAAGTATTTGGTTTTTACACTGCTACTATTTGATTAATTTCTTGTGTAAAATATATATTATGCAAATGCTACAAGTTCTCTGCCCTACTTATTAATTTTTATATAAATATGAAACGTTTGTTCGCTAAAATCTCAAGAACTAATGAATCGATTTCCTTTAGCTCCCTCACGTTACCGCGGTGGTCGGCGGTTATAAGCCACAAACATTTTCTTTTTTTCTATTTTTGACGTTTTAAAATGTCACTTTATCATTATTTTAAATATGTACACTGAGTAGTGCATGCACACTAAATTCCGTCCAAACGGTCTCGGTTTCGAGTCTCAAACACAATATTTGTTTTTTTTTGCATTTTTTGAATTTTCTGGATTTTATTACTTATTTGTTTACATTATTTTTCATGGTGATTATTAAGATTTTTTTCTCGATAACTAGCGTACTTTACCGCTGTAATTATTACAAGATATTTTTTGTCCCGGTAGTACGGTTTTGTAAGGAAAATACGGATACACGGAATTAAAAAAAAAAAATGTTTTTCGTTTAATATTGTGCACGGTCCAGACAACTAGACAGCAAGACAGAAATTATAATAATATTATTACTTGTATAAAATATACAAAGTAATTCCCCCCCCCCGTTTTCTTTATAGCGACCGTCACAGTCAATATGCGAGCGTTTTAGATAAATTAAAAACTAAAAAAAACACAAAAAAATGTTCTTGTGAAATTGGTGGGTACTCGTATATTACGTTTAAATAAAGTAGGTAGTTCTTTTTAAACTGTATTGTAGACCATATTATATATTTATGTAGGTATCAGGTTACAAACTTTTACTCTGGCGCGTGCACCACAATATTATGACTTTTTAAACACAACACGACGGCGATAACGTTCATAATATTATGTAAACACACCGGATAAATGCGCAGAAATAAAATATAATTATATCTAGAAAACATTTGTACTTCAGATAAGAACCAATTATTGATCTGCTACGCGTATTATAATTCCGTCGCCAGCGAGTCATTAAAGTAATAATTTGTAAGTGAAATTACCAAGTCAGCTGTTCAATCTAATATACTTAATTTGTTAATTGATTAAACAATATTATTGAAAGAAAAACGAACATCAATAAAAAAATCGCTTACCGAAATAGCTGTAGTGACGAAAACGTTAAAATAATAAATAATATTAAACAAAGAGCTGATGCTACTGATGGGTGCGGCGCCACTGTTGTAGGTAAACAACGATAAATCATTGTTAACAAAAAACGATTTTGGGTGAAGTTCGATTACAATATACATGATTTGAAAGGCCGTAAATGTTTACGATTCATATGAAAGTTTGATCTTAATGTGAAAAAAGACTACTTAACTCTTTGTCTATTATTAAACCACTGAGTAAAACTGAAAATAAAACCCCTGTTAAATTGTCAAGCGTTTCTGTTTGGTAAAACAATTATACTATCCACATTAGTACCTATTAAATAAATGTAGTAAAATAACACGTGAACATGAAATACATATAGATAGCTTAAAAATCAAAATATTACGTTTATAAAAGGCAAATAAAACTTTTTTGTCGAAAATTACGAGTATCTATAAATATTTTTAACTGAATTACAATAAAGTATCAAAATTGAAAATAATGAAACTATTATGAAACTTCACTGCTCTTTCTGCGTGTTTTCTCGGTTTACTCAATTATTATCAAAAAACAACTTATTGACCAACTAGGTTACAAATCTAACAAAAAAAAAAAATTTCCTGTCGTTTTTCTGTTGGTGCATTATTTCTGCTAGAAAACATAGTGCGTACAAATTAAAAAAAAAATAATGAAATCGGCAACGTCGCGGTGCGTCGTAAATATTTACCATTTTTTCCTATAATTTTGTTTCTGTTTATTCCCAATTATTTTATAAACCCCTTAAGAAAATCGAAAAATTATCACCTTTTTAATGCGCCTTTTCATTCAATTTTTCTGCGAGTGTATTTCAATGTAATATTATATTACCCAAACACAGTGGCGCAATCACCGGAGTGGATAGCGATACCTAAAATCGGGGCCCCAAGGCCCAAAATGGGTCCTATATTATAGTTGTAAACTGGGAGGGTATTTTTAACGCAATAGATTCAAATCAAATCTACGATCGTTTATCATAAATCGTAAACCATAAACTATTTATTTCTAATTTATATTGTGTGATTTTTGTGTTATTCATTGTTATGACTTAACCGTGTAACATGTATATATTATTATTCCGCTGATAATAAATAAAAATTGAGTAGCGCATTTGATTAAAAGTAGTCAATATTAAAAAAAAATACTTCCAAGAATAGGACCTACCTTATCATCTGGGCCCCAATCGCCTAGTTGCGCCACGGCCCAAACATGATTATAAAAAAAAAAAACAATAACAAAAACATTACGATTTATTACAACTATAGTTAATTGTGTTGTCCTTTGAACGAGGTTAACTAAAAATAATAGAAAAATGTATAGTGGACCATAACGGCGAAACATTAATTTTTGTTTATACCGAAACTCGAAAGGTTATACTCGTATTCTTATATTAGACAAAAGTATATCTGGATGGCAGTATACCATTAGCGCTATGTTATCGTGCTCATAATAACAACAATATTTTTACTTTCGTAATGCGCCGTAAATGTCCGCGATGCACCTATACATTAATATCATTATCGCAGCGCTGTTCGATTATTCCGTACACACCGAAGTATACGGTGAAGTCTGGAAAGTAATCATCATTCGGTCGAGCCGAAATTAAGTTTAAACGGTCCGTTCCAAATCGCGCGTTGTATTTCGTATTATAGAATATAATTTTGATTATTGCGCAATACAATCTAAGACCGTTCACGGTTTTTCGGTTTTTCGGTTTTTTTTAATACCTACGTACGTCTTAAGTATATCTACCTACTATGTATATACGAACACAATACGATTACCCACCGTACAAGTCATGATCCTGTCATATTTAAGAAAAAACATTATGATAAAATTAAAAAAAAAAAAACAAAAAAATCACGTTCCGTCGTCGTTAAAATGTAAACACAGCAGTGGTCCATTTGTCTACGCTGGTAGGTTACCTAGTGTTATCTAGATGGGTATATATTTCCATATTATCTATGTAAATAAGAACTAAGTTATCTAAGGTAAATAATATAATAACAGCTAAACTACGTAGTTTATATATTATACTATATTAATATATACGAGTAGTTAAATAAATACATTTATTAATTTTTCGTCAATTACGCTACCTTTTTGATATTGTGGACGGTGTATACGCTTTTATACTACTTTTAGCATATGTGTTACGTGGTACAAAATCGTGTATTTTTTCGCTAATCTAGATACAAAGTCTCTGATTTTTATCTTTATCTAGACAATAATTATCCGCAGTGATTGTCTCTTATCGTTATCTTAATATGTTTAAATTATTTTCCATGCAACACGCGGTAATACCTGCGCGCGCACGGCGCGACGTGAAACACATAAAATGCGTACTCAGGTTTGCGCACTTGCAGCCGATGTCGTTGTTTAATGTAATACAAACACAATAATAGTGAAAGTTTTGCGGACATAACATATTGATGTTAATGATTTATGAGGTACTCTCGATAATTTTAATTTATTCGTAAAATGTATTCCCCGGCAGCATACGGTATTGCGGTATTATGCGTACGCCTTGCTAATTTACTGTGCACGAATATTTATGTTTACGTGTCAATGACGCTATAAACGTTCATAATAGACGCTTAATATAAGATGATAAATGTGATGACGGTCGTCAAACGAAAACGCGCCGTTACACATTATTTTATTGAAATACTACGCGCGCGGGAATTAAAAAATTAAAACACGGAAACCCAATAAATCGAAATTGAACTCGCTCGTGGCATCTTAGTATTTACTAAGCGGGGAATTCAATGGTTTAACTATTGCGATAAGTTTTTTTTTTTTTTTCTTCTGTGTTCTTAATAATAAATGTTTAATTTGTGTTGATTTCTGGGTTACCCCCAGGAAATCCTTCCTGTCCACTTCCCTCTCAGATTAACGGCACATCTGTCAGCCTTTTTAATAAAAATTGTTTTTATTTTAAATAGGTGCACTCCAGAGGATTGAAGTTCGGCATTTACGAGGACTACGGTAATTTCACGTGCGCTGGATACCCGGGAATCTTGGGATCGCTGGAACTGGACGCGTTCACGTTCGCCGAATGGAACGTGGATTTCGTCAAATTGGACGGATGTTACTCGCTTCCCAAAGACATGGACGCGGGTTACAGTGAATTCGGTTATCACCTGAACAAGACCGGCAGACCGATGGTGTACTCATGCAGTTGGCCGGTTTACCAGACGTACGCGGGTCTACAAGTAAGTGAAACACTCCCCGGGAGGGAGGCTAATAAAGAACAGATGAAAACGGTTCGGTAATATTATAAGTGTTTTGGACCAAAACCACCGATTTAGAGTATTTGTTTACAATAAAAAAAATACTGCATGTAACACAGAAAAAACTATTGTGTGGAATATTTTGTAAAGTGTTGTATTAAAAACTATTTAAGGGGGTTGAAAACGGTTTACCGAATTTCCCTAATTTTGAAAATGATTTTTTATCTTTTAATAGCCACCTATTAGAATTTTCCATTAGTTTAGTGTCCGATGCCCTGTTAAGGTGAAGGTATACACATTTATAGACGCGTTTATAGACGAACATGATGGTTTAGATCAATAAATTAAAATAAAATTCACCGCTACCGCTCACCCGATTTTAAATTTGAAGTCATATTTGAATTCTTTGGTTTAGTTTGTTTTATGTTTTGTAGGAAACATTTGTTTGCTTTTCATTATTTGAATTCATTTAGTTAAACTAGTTAATATACAAGATGAGTTTAACGGTTTACCTTAAAAATAAATTCGCACCTATTTAAGTGTCACAAAACGAAAAAATGAAAATTTTGTTTGAAATGTATGAAAAAATGAATTACTCCCGACCTCCTAAATATAAATTCGTATTCGTAATATGTTATACTAAGGGGACGTGGTACCCGCATGTGCTGTCTCCCTACAACCGCGCGACATGGAAAATTTTCGGTCATCAAGGACAACTCTGTGTCGGAATGTCTAATATTTGATTGTATTATCAGACTTACAGATAAGACCATTATCATTGTCGCGTAGTAGTGTTTGATCGTAATTTTGATTTTTCTAGCGAAATATAAGCTTTTTTCAAATCGTGATACTCACACACTCAAAACAATAAAACAGCTGACACAGATAACGTTCTCGTATTCAAGTGTGACGGCATTACGCCGATTCGCTGTCTAATATCAAAACTCAAATCACAGATTGGTCTCCACCGAACGGAAATGTGCTATACGTCGAGCGGCGGTAAGACGGAGACAGCGCATAACGGGTGCATAACGTACTGCTGATTGATTGTAACGAGACCCGTAAGAGTTACGAACTAATAGTCTAAAAATTAAAAAATACATAAAGTTTTTTCCGGTACACAAAAAAAAAATAAAAAAATAAATATCGTTTCGGACGGTGCGACCGCCGCGTATTACAACCCGGTCACATTACCGAGGTAACCGATTACGAATCGCCGTGGTCGCGGCCGGTTCGTACCTGTGCAGTCCGGTTGTTTGCGTTTTTTTTTTTTTTTCTTTTCCGGCAATACGGTTTTTAACGACCGGGCTCAATAACCCAATGTCCCTCGGGGCGGGACAACCGCCGCCCTGCCCCCGAGCGGTCGTCATAATATTCATAATAATATTATAACCGTGTAACACTCGTCACTTGCATATTATTAACGTGCGTATAATGTTATGAGTACCGATAGAAAGTTCGTTTTTTTATAAAGGAAGTTTCGTCGTTGTCGCGTATCGTTTTTTTTTTTTTTTTTTTATTCATACACATGTACAAGTATATAAATGCCGCGTGTTACGTAACGGACCTAACCGTGGAAATCCGTTCGAAATCCAAACGGGCCGCGGCGCCGTTTTCGCTATACGACAAAATAACGCGCGCAATCATCGACATAACAATGTTTTTACATAATAACGTATTTTCGGCGCGGTCTGGAACAATCGTTATTACCATTCGATCGCGCGTTTTAACTATCAGCGAAAACCGTTCGGTTTTTCGAAATCGAATCGCACAGGCAGGCGCTTTACACCGTACCCGTTATCCTTTACAAGCCGGTTTTCACGATAATTTTTCCGGCGAAATCGAACAAGTTCGTCAGTTGCGGGTGTCGTTATTATCCGTAATGATATTTCCGTTGCGCGGCCGCCGTCTAGTCGACACGATTGTTTTTGTAAAACCGTATCGCTTTCCCGGCCGCATAAACTTTTCGTCGATCCGCGTACCGTTATAATGCCAAACGAGTAGGCCGACATGATTTTCCCCGCCGGCGGACGACAACACATCCCAAATTCGACGGTTGCCAACCAAAAGCCGGCGGTGCCGCGAGTTCATATCGCGAGCGATCCCAGCGAGGTTATTTGGCCCGCCTACCTGCTCACCCATTTATCGATAAAATATATCCCCCCCCCTTTTGTTTATAACATAAATAAATGTAGTAATGTAACGATTAACTTTTATTTGCTGTCGTTATAAAATAAATGACATTTTGCAAAAAAAAAAATAAACTTAATTCAACTGATTTTATTTCAAGAACCTACTTCCTGTTCATTTGTCGTACGCCTTCCTACCCGACGCTATAACGGATTAGGAAAATTATATTAGACGATTTTTTATAGATATTTGCGCGCTTAACAGTTAAAATTCGATACGTTTTTTGTGATATATGCTATAGATTTGGAAATAAATTGAAAAAATAAAAACCAAGAAAACGTGAACGGCGTTTAAAAATGGCCATAATGTTCATTTTGATAATCGCTACATGTACAAATAAATTTTTTTGGGGATTCGTAGAAATATTTACAGGATAAGTTTATGCGGTTATATGCGTTTATATGCACCGAGAAAACCGTTTCTCGGCGCCCTCTACGCGTACGGCCTTTCGGGGTGTTCCGGCGTCGACGGTGACAAAATCGTTCGTAGATGGCGCCTCGGGTTTCGCCACAAATAGTACATATTTAATTAAAATTGTGAAAATGTATTTATTTTATTTTTTTTTTTTGCCTTAGCCCAATTACTCGGCCATCACCCAAAGATGCAACTTGTGGCGAAACTTTGACGACATCCAAGACTCGTGGGCTAGCGTGGAGAGCATAATCGATTATTACGGTGACAATCAAGACATTATCGCGGCCAACGCGGCTCCCGGACACTGGAATGACCCAGACATGGTATTATTTTTTTTCGCAACATTTATTATAGTATCGAGATTATGTTTGTAAAACGGATGATTTAGCAAAAGATCACACGAGTGACGAGTGCCGAAATCAACCGTCTCGTCACACACCGACATCACCGTTTTTCGAAACGGTTTTTTCCACATTTTATTATTATTATTATTATTATTATTATTTTTTTTTTTTTAATAATCATCCGCTATTATTAAAAACGTATATAATATGTGGACCTACACGGAAAAATGTACACTGAAATCTATTACTATACACAGAATTCAACATTGTTCGTGTAAGTATTCCAATATTTATAATTTCTCATGATTTTGGTTTATTTTATTTTTAGTAAATGACAAATCGTATGCACATAATTGCACATGTATCGTGCGAATTGTATAATACAGTATAATATGTCGATACGGCATAGTAATATTCCAGCAACCAGGGCTGTGAGTTGGACGCACTGAAAACAATCTTTAAAATAGCACTAAAAATCCAAAAAAACAAGTAACTCAAAATTAAAACGAAATACCAATCAATTTAAAAAGCAATATTTTACTAAAAAACTAAGAGTACTAAGAAAGGTAAGAAACAATATGCTGCCCAAATTCACAGTCCTAAATATTATTGTTACTGTAATACGTGCCGGTGTTTATTGACCCCCGCGATGTTCGACTTGCGAATGTCTACTCTCGGCCAAATAATACATATCCATTGAAATTTTACCCATACGCATTTCCGAAGGGGAAATAATTTCTTTGGGGAAAATTTACCAAGACAATGGAGGTGGGGTCGACAATATTCATCAGTGAAATTAAATATTACGAGGGTAAATTTTCTCCGGTTGCTCCGGTTCTGCATTGTTTATATTAACCGTATTACGTCGCTGTCGTCGTGTGATGTTCTGTAATTCGCAGACATTTAAAAAAAAAAAAAAAAAAAATCAAATACAAAAATTCGACGACTGAAAAAAAAATAAATAAATTTTTACTATTTCTCTTCGACACGATGTTTTCGCAGTTGATTATCGGTAACTACGGTTTGAGTTACGAACAGAGCAAGGTGCAAATGGCCATATGGGCAATACTCGCCGCCCCGTTGCTCATGTCGACCGATCTGCGGACGATCAGACCCGAGTACAAGGCGATTTTGCAGAACAAAAAAATCATAGCCATCGACCAGGACAAGTTGGGAATCCAAGGACGAAGGATATACAAGGTCAGTATTTTCACGCGTATATCATACTACAATATTAGTCCATTAAATTGCCATTGTTACTCTGTTACATGGGAACATTTTTTACCAAACTATTATACAGTCAACTTGATATAAACTTACCGACGTATTATCAGAATGCGTAATATTAATGAATACTCGAGTATATAATTATTGTTATTATTATTATATTTTTTTAACACGTATGACGTAAAAACTTGAATGTACTATTATATAGGAGTGTCGGTTTTTTACAATATTATTGCACAAAATTGTTTTTCTCACGGAATCGTTTAAAAGACACCAGAGGTGAAAGCTTATATTATAAATATATTAACTTAAAAATTTCACTTACCTAAAATGTATTAAAACAATTCTTATAACAAAATCGCTGGTAAACATTTAATTAGATATAAGAACCTATTCAGAATTATGGTATGTTATATTATGTTTTCAAAAATTCATTGCATATCATTGGAAAAAAAAAAAAAAACACTAAAATCGAAACAAAAATAAACAAAAAATATACAATATTTCAACACTTGTTTCCCAGTACACGACTTTTTTTTATATGCAATATTTTCTAAATCTGGTTTTGGAAAATCAATTTTTTGTTGGTTAGTCGTACATTCATATGATACTCTAAAAATTTAATTTTACGCACACAACTATAACTAAATTACCCGGCATTTGCCGGGCACAATCCTTTCAAAAATAGAAATCAATAAAAGAAATTCAATTTAACGCGTCTCTCCATATTATCCACCCAATCTCTATCACAGAAAAGTTAATCGTTGTTGCAATCGGTAACATTTATCTTTCAAAAGGAGTACCTATACCTGTCTGTGACAACCAAATTAAATAACAATAACTGTTTTTTCATCTTTGTCGCCAAGGTAACTCATAAATCAACAAAACGAATTAAATGTTCGTTCCCCTTCATCTTGTTTTAAATTTCGAGTGCGCACAGTGTCATCAAAATCGAAATACAACTTTGCTGCAGATTTGTGTAGCGGACATGCATACATACAGAATTTCGATTTTATATATGTGGTACTATAATTTTCAAAAATTATATTTAAGAAAAATAATAACAATACTCGTGTAGGTGCGAAATTATAGGTGAGAGCACCGTGTTCGTCTGATTTTCTAATAAACACCCTGTAAACGCATCACTTCGAATTTGAAGAGTACGATTTTAAAATTATTATTAACGAATCGTCAGTAACAATGTAGTAAACGCACTACGATGACGATTATGTATAGAAAATATAAATTAAATTTATTTTGACATAATATAAACGAATCGTTTTTTTTGAATTGATTAACAATCGGGTATTATGAAAGTAATGTTGTAAAGTGTGTTAATTAAACAATAAACGTCCCGTAAGTATTGCCCACCGAAGAATTAATTGATAATCAACAACGACAATAATAATATACAAAATAACTCATCGAAGAATAGGTCTCGCTGAAAGCGCAATGGTGAGCTCGGCGATTATATTATTATCTATACAAACAGCCTGCGCCACATTCGTTACTCGACCTATATTTCTAATCGCTATTATTTGTTAAGCGCATTTATTAAACACTCGTGAATGGTTGTCCTCAGAAAAAATAAAAAAATAAACTTTAAAAAATCATTTGTTATTAATTAAAACACCGAAAAAGCGATTTCAAAGTAAAAAATAGCCATAAAATCAAAATAAAATATGCTCACACGGAGACAATTTTATTTTCATGATGGTGGTCGATCAATTTATTCTTCTGTTGTTTTGTGTACCTTTGTGCTGAACTAATTGCGTCGAGTATTATTTATTATCTTTTAATAAAATATTACGAAACTTTTTACAAGAATCGTTTTTAAAATTTGGCCATTACTTATTATGTACACGGTGTGTAATGAAATATACCCGTAGAATGGTCAAAACAATAACCCACAGATACCATTGTAAAGTAGACTTTGTTGAATAATGTCCCCGTAGTGTGATAAAGACGTCAAATAGATTTCAAGTTATACATTAACAGTAATGGGGAAAACGGGATTAATACAGGACAGACTTGAAAAAAAAAAAAAAAACTGAACAAAATGCGTCCCGTTTAATTTTCGTCGGGACCACGGGACGAAAAGTTGAAAAACAGAACAATCCCGTATAATACGGGACGTACGGTCATCCCACACTACTATCTACTCGTATCTATACTACAGTCTAGTACTCTTGTTCTAGTAAGTCTCCTACACGGATTTAACCTAACCGAAAAACGGAATAAATAAAAACAACATTTAATGTAAAATTACAATAATTTTGTTCCTAATACTGATTACATGAATTCTTTGTGTTTATGCAGCACAAGGGCATCGAGATATGGGCCCGGCCGGTGACCCCGATCTACGAAAATTACTTCTCGTACGCCCTCGCGTTCGTCAACCGCAGGACCGATGGTACGCCGTCCGATGTGGCCGTCGCGTTGCACGAAATGGGACTACTGTCCAACACCGGATACCGGATTCAAGTAATTAACATATGCTTCTGAGACGGCGTGAATTTATATTAGGGACGAGAAGTTGTGTAAAATACACGCGAGTGGAACGGCGAACGCAATACCGTTTCCAAACTCGTTCGAATAGACAACACGATTCTGAGCGAAGCGAAAAAATTAAATAGTAAAAACGCACATCATCAGTAAAACTAACAGATATTTTACAATGATGTGCGTTTTTACTATTTAATTTTTTCTGCCTGTGAACAATTTTCTACCAGAAATCTTACTACCCCGGTCATCAACATCAGTAGTGGTTCCTAATTGATACAGTAATCTATAGCTGGTGTATTCAGGGGGTGATTTTTTTCAATTTTCCATGCAGTTTTCCTAATAATCGGGGAAAACAAAGATAATTTGCATAATAACATTTTATGTTATTTTTATTATTATTATTATTATTTTTTATGTAATCCAGTAAGAAATAATCTTAAGAGACTTAAAATTATACGTAATTGCCGGGTAATTATTCGATTAGGTTAGGTCATAACCAATGAATGCTAGATTGCTACCGAATGCTTAGATTAGCACTTTCTGGACTTGGTAGAATTTTTTTATTTATGGTACAGATCAGTGGCGGTCAAATGATTTTGTTATGGAGGGGAGGGGAGATATTTTTTTAAAACTATTATTATTTACATAATATATAAGATATAATACAATATATACAAAGTGTCCCACGAAGATATACCCATTGCAATATCTTTTGAGATAATAAAGATAATAAAATTCTGTTTTTTTGTTTTTTATTACCCGAAGAATAAGGACTACAAATATTTATACTTGAATTCAATTTTTATGCTTTGGTAAAAAAATTAAATAAATAACTTTTTATTTTATTATTTTCGAACAATTTGAAAATGACCACTTTATAGTTTATATTTTTTAAACGTTGACATTTCAACTTTTTATTTTCATTAAATTCGTGATTTTTAATATATTTTTAAAGTTTAAAGAAAAGTACCTACAATTATGCAGCAGGCTATAATTGCATTCGCTAATTGATTATTATTACTATTATGGCTAACTAACTGTACATTTTTTTTTCTAGATTATAAAAATTATTAAAAATCACGAATTTAATTAAAATAAAAAGTTGATACGTCAAAATATGTGCAAAAGAATAAACTCTATAAAATTAATATTTTCAAATTTGTCGAAAATAATACAATAAAAACATATTTTTAAAAGTATTTTACCAAAATCAATTAAAATATTTGTATTCGTTATTCCTGTGAGTAATACGAAAACAAAAACACAATTTCATAATTTGTATTATCTCCGGAGATAATATAATGGGTATACTTCCGTTGGACATCCTATTAATATTAAATTATTATAAATATTTAAGAAATCTGAGGTAATGCGGAAATATATCCCCTTATTCCCATGTTTAACCACCCCTGTACAGATATATTTGTTATTTGTTTTGTTCAATGCTTGTTTATTTTTTTTTGACGTTGAGACTGCATAGTAGCGGAATCAGAATTAATCGGCGGTCCAACTTACTTTCATTGTTATATATAGTCACTTTAAAGTTTCGTATTACGTATGGTCGTGGTTCATTGTTATTTATTATTCTATGCTGACATCTGTTATCGTGAGAGTTGCACGATATAGTTACTGCCGTTGGCCGAGTAACAAGAAAGTTAATACGCACGAAACCATAAAAACTTCAATTTGATACGTTATCTTCGAAATAAAATGCCCTACCGCATTCTAATTTCACTGTGATTTTAGATTCTGAGCGAAGCGTTGGTTTTACAATGACGTCTGATATATATTTTATTTTTCTTTATATACCGGTTACAAAATTACTAACAGAAATCTTGCTCCGATTCAGAAACACCTTTTCTGAAAGGCAATTTTCCTTTCGAACAATTTGAGGTTTCCGGTGTCTAAAACTATAGAGATGTCCATTAAACGGATTTTCAGGTCGTCCGGCTATTGATAAGCGTAGACAAACGTGTTATACTTCTCGTTACCTAACTTAATTTTATCTAATACCGATAAGGTTTATATTTATTTTTAATTTGTTTGTCCACAGGATTTATACGAAGACGTCGACTATGGTGTACTATCCCCGCATACTAAGATCAAGGTCAAAGTGAACCCCACTGGTGAGCACTCGGATTTTTTTTTTAGTATATATATATATATATATATTTAAAAAAAATAATGACTTAGTGGTTTTATTATAAAGTGTGTGGGTTTTTTTTCTGTTCGCTAACACGATTTCGACTAGAACACTCCAAACAAAAACCATATCAAAAAGGGTTTCTGGTATACCATTCTTAAACAAATTAGATATGTATTAGGGAAGTAAATTTTTTTTAATTTCTAGACTTTTTTTTGATAATAGAGAAGAACTGGTTATAAAAAAATGACGATACACCGGTTTTGGACAAAAACTATGACGTATAGAGATTTGAAATTATGATCATGGATTAGGTTAGGATTAGGTAAGGATTTGTATATTTCCATTTTTACATGGACGCTCGCACAGTGACATTTGAATTTCGTGATTTATTGGTTTCCGGTTTTTGTTTATATACAACCACGGCAACTGGTTTACACTAAAATAGTCGAATTTTCCTATACCATTCTACCTCATCCACAGATTTGTCATCTCTTCGCCTAAACAACAATGTGGTAAACGAGTATACATTTTTTTTTTTTTCGAATCCGTATCCGACAGTGATACGGATATTACCGTCGCACTTTGTGCGTCTCAAAGCATGAAATATAATGACATTAAAACTGTATAGTGCGTAGAATCGTGTAATGCACGGATAGAGCCGTCGTCGTCGGGTAACTCGTCCGCGGGAATTCTTTCCGAACGAACCGAGTCAACGACGCCGCGAATTATCACCGCGTATTTTCTCCGTGAACAGGGGGGAAGGGGGGGGGTCATGCAGGTCACTTGTCTTATTCTCTCTCTCTCTCTCTCTCACTCATTCTCTGGACCACATTGTTTTCTCTTTTCGGGACGGTTCCCAAAATACGCGCGTGTATAGTCTTCGTTTTGGCCAGTCATCGCCGTTTTATTACCTTTTTTTGTTTTTTTTATTATTTCAATCTATTCATAAATATCATACGAAATTCCCTTTGTTGTTTCCGTTTTCCGTCGACGCGTACCTGTAACACGTACAATAATGGCGTCATGTCAAATCCATCTTGTCGTCGACATGATCTCGCGATGACGGCGACGATGACAACGTGCAGTTCAGAGATATAATAATATAATGTGTACAGACTCGTATAGAGATCACTTCGTACACAATATTTTTCATCGTATTTTCATTGTTTTGCGTTAGAACGTTTTCCGTACGCGTTTCCTGTTTTTTCTCTACGCGATTACTACACAATAGACAATATATGCGGCACATCAACACGCGCGCTAATAATAATTACGGAGTACTTGATGGTACATGTATAAAAAAAAAAAAATGCCGCATGTAGAATAATACTCACGATTTCGATTTGTACATTTTTAGATTCTGAGTGGAGCGGAGAAGCTCGTGGTTTTACAAAGATGTTTTTTTTTGTTTTTTAACCTGTGCGCAACTTTTCTACCAGAAGACTTGCTCGAATTTCTACGTGTAGCACTTTTTCTGAAAGGAAATTGGCGTGGGGAAGTACTTTAAGAAAGTTATTTTTCGATTTTTTCAATAGTTTTCTCATCAAATTTGAAAAGCCGAAAATAAACGGGAAAATATAAGAAATGTAGGTATTAGTTAAAATATATTACGGCCTTCTTTTTTTCTATGCACAACTTTTTTGCCAGCAATTTTGCTCCAAATTTTAATGATAGCAACGTTTCTATAAGGAAATTTCACTAGCGAGGTACTTTATAGTGGTAATTTTTCGATTTTCCCAAGAGTTTTCCCAGAAAATGTAAAAAACCGGGATAAAACATAGGAAAGCTGGGAAAATCGGTACAAAATTAAATATATATTATTAAAAGAAATACATAAAGCCTATTTAATTATTTTACTATAAAATGAGATATATATATATATTGTTAACAAAGTATCACTATCAAATGAACTCCGCTCTCAGAATCGTTTTTTCGTAAACAATGGTTTATTGTTGTTTACAGATATACATTAAATTATCTATAACAGTGGCTACACCCGTCCCCATTATCATTGGACGTCTTTTTAACTATTATTTTTCCGTCGCGACACCCACAAAATGATGTGCAGGCGCGTCGTTACACGATCGTCGTTTTACACAATAGTATACCCGTAATATAATCCGACTAAATAAGAAATTGATAATATTTTAATTTTTGACGACCATTCCGAACGCATTCTGCATTACTGCATCCGGTTCTGGACCCCTCGATCGCTTTGGTCGTATCGACGTATCGACAAACGAGTACACGCGTTATCAGTCCCGAAATTTAAGCCGAAATATAAATCCCGATTTAATACGCGAAAACACGTCGGGTAGGTCTCAGGGAGAAAAAAAATCAACAAAAGGTATGCGTCGGAATCGAACCCGGTAACATTGACTAAAACGGTCACTGCATTAATCCACTGATGCACCATCGAAACGTTTTGGTTGTGTGATTTGTTCAGGTACACATATTTAAAACACAATCAAACAATTCATAACGAATGACCGGGTCTGGAACAAGGTACTGTGTGATGATTAGGGCTCGGGGCATATTGTACTTAAAATCCACAAAAAACCACTGAAAAACGTCAAAAAAGCTTTGACAAAAGCACTTGAAAAATATTTAAAAAAGCAAAAACGGTAGAAGGTTTAAATGTTTCCCCTCTAACGGATTTAACTTATCTAATACAATTTTCTAACACTACAAAACTAAAAATTGACCCTAAATTATTTTTTTTTAAATACATATAATTTTATTCAAACAAAATAATATTTTGTTAATAATTTGTGTCATGTTAGAAAATTATATTTAATAATTTAGAGCAATTTGACAGGGAACATTTAAACCCTTGTATCATTTGGTCTAATAATATTTGTTTAATGTGTTTTTTTCAAGGCTCTTTTTAACGTTTTTAAGCGCTTTTTTGTGAATTTTAAATGCAATAAGTCCCGAGCTCTAATTATAATGCGGTGGAATTCTATTGGAACATATTGTGGTTATTACTCCGTTTTTATAGGTATTAACGTTCATTTTGGATTTTTCACCGTAATGAATTTACGCGTACTTGTTTACAGGATCCATATTTTATCGTACTGTTTTTAATAAAAATATGATTCAATTATAATTATATACTACAAACTTAAAATACACATCACAAGAAACTCACTCAAAGAACGCATCAAATTGTGTAGCGCACGATTGTATTTACAATCGCCAGGAACGTTTTTCCGAATTCAAACACGAGAGTTGTCTATACCTATTATCATATTATTGTTACTATGTATATGGACAACCCAATAGTAACGCTATAAATTATATACTTATTACTTTCATATAAACGTCATTTTTTAGTACTCACTGTATGTAGTAATACTACGATTAAACGTGATTTAATACAAATATTTAGTTTAAACGTCTCTTCTTTATGGGTACAGTCGTAAATTGATTTATTACCTACATAAATGATTGACGTTTTATTTCCGTATTAATAATATATGTGTCCAAACAACCAGAAAATTATATTTAATAATAATATTATACATGTTCTATAAAATATTAGATTCTGAACGTATCGAGAAATATTGTATAGGTTTTACTATATGCATGCTTTTTTTGTCTGTCTGTGAACAACTATTTTACCTGAAATCTTGCTCCGGTAATCAACTTAAAGGAAGGTTTCTGATAGAAAATTGTATCGTGTTGATGCATTGAACAAATAGTTTTTAGATTTTACTCCTAGTGATTTTCTAATTGAAAAAACGGAAAAACGAGAAAATGTACGCAACAACAGTTTCTACAGTTTTTCGATTATGTTTTTTTTTATTCAAATAAAAATAAACGTAGAAACATGGAATTTCCACTGAATACTTCTTATATTAACCCTTTTTATTTATAGCATAATTTTTTAAAATAATTTGGAATTTTTTTTTCCATTTATATTAATTGTTTGTGAGTACAATTATTTTGGGTTCAGCAAGAATGCTAGAAAGTCTAACACAAGATTTATAAATAAAGTATATATATATTAAGTTATAAATAATGGCAAAAAAAATTTTGAACGTAATGTAATAAATTTTATACCTAAGCGTTTAAAGTTTTGATTTTAATGAAAATCGTAAAGTTTACATTTGATTAATTGAAAACATAGCTACTGAACTTCACTTAGATAGAAGTTTTCATTTTTATGAAAAATTTAAGGGATTTAAAAAAATTACACCATACACTAGATAAAACTCGGTAACAAAAATCATCCATTGGTATTGATGGTCGAAGCGAATCTTCTGGTTTAAATGGCATTTACAAAGAGCGAAAAAAAATCACACAACCCAAACTCTATAACCGCGAAATTCGTACGAAAAACTGCACTTCGATGAAAAGTTTTTTATTATTGTTTTTTTCTCTTTTTGTCCAACAGGTGTCGTTATACTGAAAGCAGACGTCCAACAGAATTTGAACAAACAAAACTTCTACAAACCGTACAACCCATTTGCGCAAGTCTATCCGCTGAGAACGGCCAATGATTTCGTGAAGAAATGAATGTAATAATGTAACAATTTGCAATTGTATTTCGAGAAGAAGAGCACATACTCTGGCCTAGCAACGATATCAAAAAAAAAAAAAAATAAAAAAAAAAAATAGATTGCCGAACATCTACGACGGAGTCAAAAAAAAAATACAACATCAATTTTTTTAACTCATTATTTATGCTGCTGTATACATACATGTCTATATATTATACATAATTTTATTGTAAAAAAAAAAAAATAACAATAATATATATTATACACAATATATATATATTTTTTAAAAAAAATGCAAATTTTGCACGTAATTGAATGTTTTTTTTTTTTGGTTCGTTATTGACAGGCAACCGGCCGATTTATTTAAAAAAAAAAAAAAGTTTTTATTATGATAATAAGGTAACCTTCGATTATCCGGTTTAATAATGTGTTGTTATAATTTACGCGGTAGCTATTGTATTTATTTAAACGAATTTTTTTTCTACTGCTATATTCGTAAACAAAAGAATTTAAAAAAAAAAAAAAAACAAAATAAAAACCATTACTAAAATACATTTTCGTTTGCGATTAAAATGATAAAAATCAATAGGTTTTTTTATTCTTCCACTCCTCCATATAATATTATCTAATTGCGTTGATTTTTGTTTTGTTTTAATATTCGTTCTCTCCTTCAGTTATAAGAAAAGTTATAGATTATAATATTTTATTATTTCATGACCTTTTTTCGTTGGTTTTTTTTTTTTTTTTTGTCGGGAGGAATTGTATAATTTAAGTTCTTTGATCTGTGAATTATTACTTTCCTCGAGGAAAAAAACAAATAATTTTGAACTGCTGTATACTTCAAAAGAATCTCCACCGACATATCTTCATTCATTTGTAGAAACAATTCATATTTGTTTCATATATTATAAATGTTACACCCTGTCCTTGAAATTGCCGAATTCATGAAAACAACTTATCTCGCTTAAGAATTAAAATATACCAATGTTTAAACATAAACCTTTGGTTTTACCTTTAGGTTTGATAATATACAAAGACACCATTATATTAAAACTAATAGTACAAAACGAACGAAAATTATAAATATAATATGATTTTATGAATTGTGAAAAATTTCACCTGTGGGGCGTAACATACATGTTATATATTATGCTGATAAAGCAAACATAATTATAACATACTATTTATTAATTAAAACGAATTATAATATTAATAATGAATTCTGAATTGATAACAATCGTATAGCTATTATAATCAGCATTTGCAGTATAATTACATACATATAAATACATTTAACTATACTAGTATACTTATATTTTTTCGGCACAAGGAGTTCCCTTCGTTCCCCTCTCATTGTATGGTATTTTTTTGCGTTTAAGTATCGCTATAAAAACAATATTTTCAGATTCGGAGCGTGACGAGGGATCTATTGGTTTTACTATGATGTATTTTTTTTATTTTCTGTCTGTGAACAACTTTTGTACCCGAAAACTTGCTCCGAAGTATAGACTACAGCACTTTTTCTAAAAGGTAATTTTCTGTAGTTGGTGCATTGAAAGATTCATTTTTTAATTTTCCAAGGGGTTTTTCGAAATAATTGGGAAAACCCAACAATTTAAATTTATCAATATTTACGGAAACGTAGCGTGCCGATTTAATTATTTTAATATGTTCAACTTATGTTTTCTACCAGAAATATTACTCTATTTGAAAAATGACCCGAGATGAGTATTGACAATAATATTATAGTTTTATTTAAAATGGGCTCTCTAAAGTTTAGGTTAATAATCGTAATTGTATAAGAGATTGGTCAAAAGCATAACGTATTCTTCTGATTGGTTTACCACATATCTCTTAATTATTTTTTCTCAGTAAGTGATAACAATACGTAGTTAAAAAGGAAATTATTTTAATTAATTAGCCTACTCGGCGTGTATTACGTGTAATTCTCTGGTGGGATCGTAGATTTATGTTGGTGAGTGTATATAACGAGCGGTTACGAAGAATTTCCATTGAACGGTCATCAACAATTTTATACATGTCATCCGTTTATCAGTCATACTAACGAGCCCGTACGTCACTATTATGTTAGGTAAACTCCGTTTTGTCCGTTGTATCCGATTTGAATTTTCTTTTTCGACATCATTGACTTTTTGTGTTGTCACACTATTTCAATTCTGAAGTTCTTTATCATCCATGGATAAATGTTGGGTTGCCGATCCAAATATAGCTAGGCGTTTAAAACCAAAAACAAAATGCCCTGATTAAATTAAAGAATTCGTATACCTAAATATCCATATGGTCAAAAGTTCTGGCCCATGCGTTGACATCCGCACGCCACACTTAATTCAGGGGTTAAACCAAAAATACATATCTATTCGAAACAATGTGATTTCAATAACTGAAGAACCCATAATTATGGCCATTGACGAAAACGTCATTCAGGACCTCATCGACTAAACGGTATCATGTGCCGTTCAATTTAAAAACTCTACTAGCTTTTCCAGTTACCGAAAATGTGGTTGACAAGCTGTTATCCGATTTTCGTAGTTTTCTCTTCGAAGCTAACAACAGTTTACCAGGTTCATCGCATCCAGCAGTGAAATACTATAGGAAACGTAAAGAGAGTCAAATTAGTAATGTAGAATATTGTTATAAAGACTCCACAAACCCTCAAAAAGCGACGAAACGCCAGAATCAGAGATGGTCTAACCAATACCAGTATGAGATGACACAGTACACAATATATTACGATCTATAATCGTCTTAAATTTAATTAAACGCGATAAAAACAAAAAAAATAAAAAACAATAATAATAACCCGTATTAGGAATATTATTATACAAAGAACGGACATAATTCGCACGTAGGTGCAGCCACTGTTGTAGGTGGCAAGGTGGCAAGGTAGGATACAGACGGAAATTTAACGTATATCTGTGAGCAATGATCAACTATTGCTTACGAAAAAACGATTTTGAGCGGAGTTCAGTTGATAGTATTGCTTTGCCAACAATACAATATACGGTATATATCATATTATGTTAAAATGATTACAACAATGATTTTTTAAAAATTGTTTAATTCCTAAAATTTTTTTTGATAATAGAGATAAACTGATAACAAACAAATGAGGATACACCAGTTTTGGACAAAATAGCGACAAGATCGTGAAGACGGTGACGATGACATGCAGTTCAGTTATACAATATGTACTCATCCGAATTGGTTCCCGAGTTTTTACGAAGGATCTATACAAATTGGTTCCCTTTATTCTAGACAGCAAACATATGAATTTATTCCTGATAAAGATTTTCGAAAAAGACGAAATACAATAGAATAATATTATTCAATATGAATACAACATAAAATGTCCCATCAATATGTACGGCCGTACGGTTGTATATATTGTTATGTGAGCATTTTTAATCAGGCCATCGATAATAATAACTTAATAACTGTATGGTACCACAACAGTAGACCAGAATTTCTGATTATGAATGTAGCGAAGAAGCTATTGGTTTTACTAATATTGGCATTTTTTTATATTTTTTTATTTCTTGCTATTTTTTTACGTCACCGTCAACAGCGTCGTTCCGGGATATACATTATTCAGACACACACACACACACACATCAGTGTTTATTACAATGTATCCCTCGCAAAAAATAGGGGAACTCGTACTGACGCACAAAAAGAATAATTATTTTAACGAAAGTCGGTTCGCAATACCGTCTAATATTCGTTCTTCGAGTCGATTCACATTCCAAAAGTGTTCGTTAGTGTAAATAAAAATTGTAATATATTATTATGCGCGATAATCACCAGCTTTATAGACTCGGGAAATTTCTTAACTATGCCAAATCAATACGAACGAGTATATTACAATATTACTATATGCACAATTAATATGCACAAGACAGTTTGAGTAATACTACGTCATAAATAATACAGCTCAATTTTATTGTTGTCGTGTAGATGCGAATATATTAATAGTTTGTTCAAAAAAATATGAACGTTGAAAAAAAAATACGCGAATACTTACACTTTATTGCAGTTTTATGTACGTAACCCATTAAAAACTTTTGAATCGGGGACGGGTTTTCATATATGCAACTATACAAGTATATAATATTTAACAACTGCAATTTATTAGAACGTAGCGGAGATTGAGTTAAAGTGTTTTTAAACTTTTTTACTCATTAAATAGATTAACTGTATTATAATACATGTATAATAATTTGAATGAAAAAAATTAAAATTCATCGTGATCGAATTTTCATAATTTGTTTACTTTATTTGGAAAATAGGGATCTGCAGATTAGGTGTTCATGGATTCGACTGTGTATATAAAAATAAAAAAGTATATGTAAGTATATAATATGTATATATGTGTGTATGTTACCGGAAATATTGATAATCTGATATTATTCATAATGCCTCGATATTATGAATATAATGCCAAAAAACACCAGGAAATATGCACAATTAATATAAAGAGGTATTGTAAATAACGGCTATAGTAAATTAAGCAATATAATAGATATTGAGAAACCTATATATTATTATTATTATAAAAATATGAAACAATAAACAAAATAGTAATTACCGATTATGATAATCGGTAGTAAACCCTCGATTTGTTGTGCAAAACCACATCGGGTAAGTAACAGGGAATAGTCAAAAAATGTACAGATGGGAATACAGACACATTTTTACTTTACCCAAAATAAATTTGGTATTTTATAAAACGCTTAGGAACTACGTAAAATGCCTTGGTTATATATTTGAAATAATATTTTATAATTTTATATTACACATTTTATTCATAATGTCTAAAACCCAGGGCCATATTTACTTTTACGTAGGATAGACTATGGCCTCCGTTATCAGGGGGCCTCGGATTTTTATGAACCTTATTTTTTTTTTTTTAGAACACAACTTTCATCGTATAAAATAAATATAAGAAAAATATAATATTTTAAAAAAATTATTTTGTATTCAAAGTGTAAGAGATAATTTCAATTTATATGAAGAAAAATCATCATGTTTTAATGTTACAACTAATTATACTTCATTGAGAAAAAAAATTCTTAAAAATAAATGTCTTCATGCTAGAAACACACCTGAAATTGTTTTATCAGAAAGAAAAAAATTCATCTATGATGTGCATTTAATAATTTGTGATAATTTGATAACCGAACTAAATAAAAGAATATCCAAATATTAAGAACTGGATTACAAGTTTGGTTCCTTATACAGATCAGAACCAAAACTCAAGTGAAACCAAATTGAAAGTTGAAAAATATTTAAGCAGTTATTGTGATGAAATTGAAGTCGATGATTTTGTTCGTGAATTCATTTAATTTCAAGCTCATATTGAGTCCATCAATAATGATTACCAATGTAAGTATAATTCACATAATCAACTTAAGCATTTCTATAAAATGAATATTCAGCAAACATTTCCAAACATCGAAACTATTTTTTGGATATTTTTATCAATCCCGTGTACCAACTGTAGCAGTGAAAGGTCTTTTTATGTACTGAAAAGGATTAAAACAAGATTAAGATCAACACTAACTCAAGAAAGACTCGATAATTTAGGTTTACTATTAATAGAATGCGATCTTATATTGTTACATCGTCGTGCATTAATTGTAATCGACGGCATTCCCGTTTCCTCGCCATGTTCGTCCTGCTACAAACATACAATATTATACGATAGCATAAATAATAATAATCTATAAACTATCCGTAATACACGATGGGAAACGTAGTGGGCCCACAATATTACGATACCCATTGGCCTGGAGTCACCTTTGACCTCCCTTAATCCGGACCCGAGCGGGACGAACAGTCTAAGCGAATTTATACTTAACTATCGTGTCTGTATTTTCTATTATAGTTTTTGTAATACTATTTACTTTAATTTTGTTATTTACGGTAAGTCTTTGTAATTGGGCTAGAACCGTTTTTATTATAAATAAAATAAAATAAAATACCTATTCAAACGGAACTTTCCGAGCTTCGATTATTATTGTATACGTACATCAATACGCTATGAATAATATAAATACGTTAAAGACGAGCGACCGCAGTTTTGCGGTCGAAAAAAGCGCGGTTTTTCAAGTGGTCCGGGCGAGTTCGGTTTAATAATGCCAGGTGAGCGCGGCCGCGGACGGACGGACGGTCGGCGCGCCGCCGGTCCAAAGCTCTGCCCATTGATCGCGGGCGAGGGGGGCGGTACGGGGCGGAGGGCGGCGCGTCGCGTGCCGGCCCGCCACCGCGGCACCCTGGACCGCGGGCCGCCGCCGCCGCCGGTAACGCTCGCTGGTCGCGCTCGGCGCCCCGCGCACACACGCACACACGCTTACGGCGCGCGTGTATACACGGCGATCGCGGCCACGCATGCAAAAGTACACACACACACACACACACACAAGCGCACACGTATATATTATTATCACATACGTCGCCCACGCACACGTCACATACGCGTATTTTGACTGGGACGGTCAGTAGTCGGCGGCGCGCCACGTGCTCTCTACACACGACGCTGCCTACCGTACGTACGCCGGCGAAACGTGTGTGGCCGCGGCCGCACCGGCACACCGCAATACGCACTCGCGTCCGCAGCGCGCACCACGTGCTACGCACCGTACGTCGCCGCCGTCGCCGTTCGCACCGCACGTTAGCACGCACACGCACCTTGTCGTTTAAATAATATTTAAAAAAAAAATACCGGTAAGCTATAACATGTGTGCCATAATAGTTATTATATGTAATTGAATAGTCGTATTTATGAGAAAAACACGTATCGTACTTTTTAGATTAAGAGTGTAGCGAGCGGGGGTTTTTTTTTTTTGTTTTTTTTTTGCTTTTTCGGCTAGTAAATTTTACTCCGGAACACTCTCGCGCCGAAACTCAGAAATTAACGCGGCCGGCTTTCCGCCCGGCGACAACGGCGACGCTTTAAATTTCAGACTTTTTTTCTAGATTCTAAAAAAAAAAAAATTTAAATTACCGATAACGTTGACAAATGACCGCGATACGCGCGCAGCTAGACGAAACACTTGAGCGGACGGACCGGGGTCCAAAAACTTATTGAAGACGGATTTTTAAATTTCAATTGACGAGGGGACTGTGAATTTCCGAAAGCTTTTTCACTTTTCGATATCTCGCGATTCTTCGCACAGAAAAAAAAACTCCACTCGGTACACTACACTGTGTTTTTCGGTTTTGTGTGTTTGTAGTTCGTGTGCATGTATTATAATTGCTTGTTTCGTTGATACTCGTCAAACGCTTTTGACGAACCATCTAAAACAGACAACAAACGCCGCGATTAAACCTATTTGCAGGTGTTATAAATTCCTTTGCAAAAAATCTCCAATACATTTAACACGCGATCTTTGTTAAAAATATAATTAATGTGTCTTCAGTGGCGTAGTTAGGTAGATGGGAAAGTGTCCCGGGATAGTTAAGAAACCCTTCACAACACGATTTGTGTTCCACCTCACAATATAATATAACATATTAAAATATAATGTACATACCATGTTAATCAGTTCATAAAACGGGTAATCTGACAATTGTCTAGGCCATTGTACAGGCAAACGTATAATCCTGTGAACGAACCCTGTATGTTAATTCAATGGATGACGTAGCCCGAAGTTAATTTTATCGGGGATGTTAAAGTTGACGATATTTGATCATAACGAGAGAAAAACAAGAGGGTCAAGTGGAAAAATACAAACAATGATTAGTGGTACGGTCATGTCATTTGCCACCCCAAATCTAAAAACTCCACCAGTAGTTTCACCCCTAACTAATCATAAGTAAGAAATGTAAAATTTTAATAATGATGTTTATTATCGTCTTTAAGTTGTATTGAAGTATTTTTAAATTTACGTATATGATAGTTTCGTTATAATTCAATCTGTTGTAAATATTTCCCATTTTTTTTTTTTAGCCCGTAAACACAGGGCAACGAGAAACATTAAGGTATATAATATTATGTTTTTGATCCCAGATAAGAAAAGCTTAAAACAATTCTGTGTTACTTTCTATACGCGAAAATTTTATTTCGAATATCGCTAAATGGCATAGGTAATAGCATATAATTTTAACTTCTAAATGGTCAACCTAAATGAACGTTATATAAATGGCTTAAGTCATATAAATGTATGACATAATACGTCTTTTTTTGCAAACAGAAAATATGCATCGTAGTGACTTTGTATTTTCAGAATTACATATTATTATGTTGAAATATACACCGGTACACTTATGCCTTATAAACCAAAAATAAAGGGTAACAAATCCCATAAGACGTAATTATAGAAAGAAAAAAAATGCCAATCATTGACAAAAGCCCTTCTTTCACGGGACCAAAGACATAACGAGAACAATAAGAATACACGAGTTATGAACGTACAGCTTAAGACCTTAGGCTAATATTATATACAGAGTATCCCACGATGATCTGCCACTTAAAATAACTTTTGTTCTATTTAATATTTTTGACCCTTCCCTTAAAAAATAAATATTCATATATAAATTGTAGCGCAGAGGCATGTTAATTATTTCAAAAACTATTTAATGAATAGAACAAAGTTATTTCAAGTGGCAGATCATCGCGGGATACCCTGTAATCTGTACAGTGTATATACTATATATATATATATATATAGTCAATAAGAACAAAGTAAAAATAAATAAAAAAATAACAATGTTTTTGGCGATTTTTATTTCGCGCTGCGAAGTTCGACGTCTAAATTGACGGAGGTAGTGACTTTAAATCGACGGCTGAAACACAGAGTTTTGGCCGTGCGATTTCCAAATATTGTCAACGAGTTGTTCGATCAGAGTCGGCGCGATTTCCACTATTATTAAAACATAATGTATAACACACGTTTCTATTGTCGTGCGAATAAGTATTATCTATACAGCCGTTAACATAGTTTACCGAGCACACGCCAAAACTATTGAGTATACTGTAAATGTCAAACGCGTCAAACCCACAGTTTACCGCGCGTTTCAAATGTATACAGCCACTCGAAAAAAAAATATATATATAATAAATTCTGTCAGGAACGGAATTTGTCTGAGTCCTTTGCCCACTATACGGTTCTATACCTATATACGTATGTATAGACGAGAAGAGCCATTCGAGTTTTCGAAGTGATGATGACAGATTTCAAGTTTTTTTTTTTTTTTTTTTGTGATGTTTGTTGTTTTCACTCGCTATATAATTAAACGTCTGTGCCCAAAATATTATGTAAATTTTATACTACGCAGGTCACGGCATAAAGTTTTAATGAAAAACTGACGAACGCAGACCCGATTAATGCATTATTATACTTATATTGTACCGAATATGAAATCTTCAATTTTTTTTTTATTTTTTTTTTTTTAATAATATTATTATCGAAATATAGCGCATCATAGGTAAGAATTCACGTTTTTTTTTTCTTACTTTTTATCTCAACTATATTATTATAGTAAGCGGTGTTCCTATGGATCGTAGGGTACACTACATAATATAATACCGATAATAATTTTTATCGTTCAATTTTACATATATTCAAATTCAGATTTTCAAATTTTAAAGTGTAATTAAAGCCGATATTTTCGAATACTTAAATTGTTCACAATATTTAAGAGCGTACCTATCCTGTGGCGATCTCAACTTTGGCTTTTCAAATTACAAATCAGATGATTTTTCTGAAAATTGTGACGTATTATAATCGAAATTTGAACGAAAAGTTTCCAAGTTATTCTACATTATAATACTAGGGGTAACAATCTAAAAAGCATCATTTGTGGGGCGACACGGTGAGCGGCGTTTTCATAGTGCTCCTCTACTCTCCTCTACCAAAACTTAAACGTGGAATATGACGTCAACGGATTGACGGAAATCAAAAATGTCAAAACCAATATTTATTTAAACTAATATTCCATATATTTATGAACCATTTAATATAGGTTCTTATTTGAAAAACAAAAGTTTGTATCGCAACACGATACTTCGTAAATGCTATGAAAAATCTAAGTATTCGAATATATCGGCTTAACTACACTTAAAAATTCAAAAATTAGAATTTTAATGTATACACAATTAACTATAAAAACGAGATAAATTAAAAATATCGACATCAAAACATATTTAAACTAAAACGTTTTATATTCATATAATTTTTAATACAGGTTGCTAAAATTTAAAAGCGAGTAAAAGGTGGTTTTTGCCCCAATAATTAGGGTGACAAAAATAACTATTGTGTATTATTTAAAAGTTTACAAGTTTAAGAAATTTTTCCGACATATATCGAATGTTTTATTGAAACATTGAACTGTCTTTATATTTTAACAATAAGGCAGTCAGATGGGTGACACACAGGGAAACTTTGTTTTATAAAATTTATTTTATGGACTAAGAAATATATTTCGTTAATCAAAAACGAGTTTAAATGAAGCAATACATACTCGTGTTTCTGGAACGTTATGTCAAATTTATTTTGTTAATTATTTTCATATATAATTGACTATGTAAATTTATTGACATAATTATTAATCAAATTTAAATTCTATTAATTTACAACTAAAATTGTATTGATAAATTATTTAATATCATATTATTACTATATCATATATTATTATTAAGACTAAAATGCCTGTAGGTACTGTGAAGTAAGTAAGCAGAAATAATACTTATGAAACAAATTTGTTCTGTGTGTATTGACTATGAAATATTTTTTGTGTGATTAATTTTGAATTGATTGAATTTCCCCTATGTGTTACCTACTTTATTGTTACACATTCATATTATACAATAATTTTGTTTGTAATGGTTCACATACTGGTATTTTTGTTTAGTATTGATAAGAATTAAGAAAACAAGGCGATTCGGACGAATTAATTTTCCTCAAAAATATTACAGTGTCACGTACCTATGTCTTTTGACATACGAATTTCTTTTTACCTAAAGTCCCTAAATTATAGATTGAACAATTGCATGGCAAATTGAAACGGGTCAACTGCTAGCATTCATAATTCACACAAACGTCACTTTGACAGCGATAACACTTCGTACGCCAACCTGTATAAATAACCGTGGTACAGATATAAATCAAATTATCCTCTATATTCTGCCTTCCCAACTTCTCATCTGCAACAGTGGCCCACCCATCGTGTGAAGTATGCCCGTCTATTTTTTTGTTGTAATTCAGTTTAAAATATTTGACTCGAAAAGAAAACTTATATTGGCCTATTCTAGGCGTGGTAAAATTTTCAAAATATTCTAAAAATATTTTTTACCTATTTATAGCCATTTTACTTTTTCTAGTGTTTGGACGTAGTTTTTCTTTGGCAGGTATACTAAATGGAAAAAATTGTGTGATCAAACAGAAATGCTTGACAATTTAACACAAAGTTCATTATAAGTTTTTAAAAAACTACTACGTTACACTCAACTTTTTTAACCACTAGGTATACAAGTTCATTATAAGTTGTATACCTAATGGTTAAAAAAGTTGAGTGTAACGTAGTAGTTTTTTTACAATCGTTTTAAGGTCATATTTTGAGGAATATCGTAAATACTAATAAGGCATTTAGAAAAATGTACAGCAGAACTTCACTCAACATCGTATTTCGTTAGCAATGGTTTACTGTTGCAGCTTATAGATATAAATTAAATTACTTTATGTATCCTACCTTTATAACTATTTTATTTTGTAACAGACTCAAAAGTAAAGTCTTCATCGTTTATAAATGAAAACAAAAATAAAAATTATCGATTCAGAACACTCCCGAACAGACCCTTACAACGAATACAATATTTATTAAACGAATGTTTTGAATAGACAATTTTCGTGTAGATACATTAGTATTTATTTTGTACGGTAACAGTGAATTTCTTTCATCTTAGTTAAATCAAAAAAGTTCGTTGTTGGTTTTTAGTTTTTTTTATTTCTTTAGATCATTATAAAATACAAACATCATTTGTAACGATTACAGGAAAAACGATGTATATTGCAGGTTTCGAATTGGTTTTTTTTTTTTTTTTTTTACTTCAAACAGTATTAATTGACTTGCACGAAATAAAGTTTTCATTACAGGAACCGCGGAAGTTTCGATTGTATAAGTAGGTTTATATGTGTAAGTAACGAGTGTATAAACCAATTTGTTTTCGAATGTTTCGCCGTTCCGAGATACCGTACTACGCGAAGATATTTTCTTCGAATAATTTAATACCGCGTAGCGTACGGTAAATACAACGTTATGGCATCGAAGTTATGAACACGAACAGAAATATAAAAAAAAAAATAAATGTATTTTGTTGTCATCGCCAAAGGTCTCGAAGTTATTTCGATCACCGGTGTTATACACACCTATATGTATATGATATAACTAACTCGACGCGTGTGCGTGGATATGTGTGCCGACCGGCGGAATGATAATGCAAAGTAGGTAAAGAAAAAATGGTAATTACCGAAAGCGCGTGATTATTTGTTATAACGCGTGTACCGAAGGAAATTCCCGCGTCAAAAGTAAATAATAGCAATAATAAATTCGGGGACAATATATAATTATTTGTTTGAATCGTCTTGTTATCTTGATCAAAACAATTTGTTTCTCCTTGAACAAAAATACCGTATGTGAGCCGATACAATCGAAATTAATCGTGTATAGTGTGAACGTGTAAACGGTAACTGTTGCCATTTTGCTCGTGGTACCGCACGGGGCGTTGGACGTTTCGATAAGACGCTCGTTACAGCATCCCGAAAAGTATTAACTTTTTTCGGACAATTTTAGAAACAAGCTGTTATTCGTACAAACGTTACATTATATTTTGTCACGCTAATTGCGGAGGCTGAAATCGGTATCTACCCGTTTCTTATCGTTAAACAGTAACGCGCCGTATTATAAACGCCACGAATAGATAACGGTTTGGTCATGTTATATCGGGGTGTTGATATTTTAGATTTCCGTCGACCCGTCGACGAGACATTCCGATTTTACAAGTAGTTTGGACTAGGGGGGAAAACGTTATAGTTGTAGCAACAAGTCGAGCTTCGTCAACCGATAGGCCACAATCGGCGGTGCGGTTCGCATCAAATTTTTTCCGGGGTATTCTGTATCGTTCCTGCGGTTTGTAACTGTACCGCTGAAATGGATGTCAAATTGTACGAAAATCAAATCGAAATTACCGTAACGAAACGCTAACAATTTGTAGAAAAAAAAAAGCACAAGCGTAAAAAAGTTTAAGGTTTAACAAATAATGCGCTCTTGTTCCGCGGAATTGAATACAGTCCGCGAATCACTACTACGGGCTGGCAAACCATATCACCGCGTGTGTTCTCGGCGTTATCGAGAGTCGAACGCGCGTTATTTTACAAGCGTAACGACATCGTAATATTGTGTTACGCGTGTTACAATATATTACCGATGTAACGTTTGTACGGCGATCGGCAAAAGCGCAACGATGAGAGTTCGAAATAAAAAATAATATGTAATGCGTTTACGATGCGTTCGACGCGGGGCACAATACGTATTGTACGTGTAGGTGTACGGAAATATGAAAACGAGAGGCGAAACGCTCGGTGCTACTTAGCATAATATGATATCCGGCCGAAAAAGCGAACGAACAACCGCGAATAT